GATCAAATTTCTGTACATAGAAAAGAACGCCAAAAATCGAGTCAAAGGGATGTTAGAAGTAAAATTGTATTTTTTTTTCAAATTTATATTTCTCTGTCTGTTTGTCTGTTTGTACAGGCTAATCTCCAAAACTATTGGACCGATTTAAATGAAATTTTGCATGGAGCTAGCTTACATCTCCGGTCATCAAATATAATATTTTCTTTAGATGAACTAAAGAGTTCTTAGCAATCTGAACTACAAACAGTACTTTATTCAATATCCGTACTTTGTAATGGAATGTTATGATTAAGTTTATTTTCATATAGGTTGATATGGATACTGAGAAATAATTTGACATTTTGGTCCCATAATGGCTTGAAGAAAATTCCTAAGAGTGCAATATAATTGGGTACCTGATTATCGGTACTCACAAATTGGCATGTGTTATTCGAGCCGATATGTTCTTGTTCAGTATGTATATACTCAGTCTGAAAGTAATTCTGTAGATTCATAAACTCAACAGCGCTACTCGATAGCAATACTTTTGTCATAAAATAAACTGAAATCGAGGTTGAATGCGAAGTTTGTTTCTTTGTAAGAACGAATTACACAAACAGTCGGACTGACTTAACAGGTATCAAAAGTATGCTGATCTAACCAATTGGTAATCTAAATTGCTCATTAACTCTAGCTGACTGGCGTAATTTCACCTGCGTCACAATTTTTCCGTTTTTGCAACATTTTTCATTGGAGCTCAGCTCCAATTAGTGGAACGTGATGTTATATAATATTATAGCCTTTCTCGATAAATTCCCTAAAAGACATTAAAAGAAAGAAAACTAAAAGTAGTTTCAAAATCGGATCAATAGTGCTGGAGATCTCGAACATCCAAACTTAGAAACAGGTAAAGTTTAGATGTATAATCTTATATAGAGCGTAGATATAGTATTCTGCATTTATACATCTAACGATTACAAATATCTTCAAATCATAAATATATTGCCGTAGCTATAGTTTTATTTATAACTTTATATACTTATGTAGTGAAGTAACAAAACAATATTAAGCTAATAACATAAACGTAGCGGGTCTTTCAACATCAGATACACTTCCGGAAATATCAACAGTGAAGTTGGAACATACGTCCGAGTCAGGAAGTTCCGCTACTCAGATATCAGCTCAAATATAGGTATTTAAAGCTAATACAGCTACAATAATAGTATTCTTAATATATGAAATAACAAACGATCGGAAGAATGGGACTGGAATGTTAGGATTATAAAGACATTCTGATCTCTTCAGAATGAAACGCGTACATTTCAAAGGAAATAGTTCTTTAGAGAACTGTTCCTCTATAGAATATATCATGATTTTACCTTTTCATACATACATTTAAATACATGATGCTTTGAATGTATATATGAAAAGGATTTCATTGGAGTAAGCACAACAAATATGATGAGGTAGACAATGGTCCAATACAAATATTTGCTCCCTCTACATTCATGCAAGCTCATTGGTTATTAGTAGTTTTATTATAATGGTACCATTAATATTGTGTTCGTCTAACAGCAGCACCAGATAAAGGGAGACGAAGAGATGAAATCCGTCGTAGCTATTTACATATATGTTATAGGAATATTTACAGATGGTGGATATAATATAGGAACAAAGGAAATATACGAGTATTTACAAAAGTGGGAATAGTCTGCAATTGATTTCAGTGATGCCAGTTGTTACATCCATCAGCTTCGTAATTAAGCAACGGTGAAACCGCGTGAAATATGCCACATATTTTTAACTTGTACTTTCTTCACTACATATTCTTAAAAAAGAAGTCGTGAAGGTATCTGTAATACGTATGTCACGCGCCAAACTGCTTGTATTGCAAGATATTTTTTAATTGAACGGCGAGATACCACACTAAAATCACTGGGTACGCAGGCATGACATCTTAGTCCTACGGATCGTAATGCATGATGGTATGAACATCACCTTACGACGTTCATGGTGCTATTCATGTGTTTAGGCGTAGGTACCATTTACCATTAGTGGGCTTAGTATTTTTCCAGTTACATAGCAAGATTTCACTTATTTTGTTGGCGATCGTCTGGAATGACCTCTAATGATTTTTAAGGGAATACAAAAGTGAGTACACGTCTTTTAAGGTTTAGGTCTAGGACCTACTTTGTTGAGAACTTGGGAGCTTGTAATTAAACAGTCGACAGACAGAATGGAAGTGTGTTTATTATAAAAATATTCCGGCCCTATATACGATTTTACACGTGTCACTTTTAAGCGCAGCTGCAGGTAACGACGGCTCGCAGCTGCGTTGCTAATATTACACGTGCCGTGCGATAAGGATTCTAGGAAGTTGCAAGGACGTGGACGGTGGCACGTGTAGAAAGTATGTTGCTACAAATTGATAAATGTCCCGCTACTCTTTTTTCAGTCATCTTTCAAAAGAACCAAACTTCATTTCTCTATAATTATATTATATTCTATCCTGTCTTTTAACTTTATACCAATTCAGTTCACTTGTTCTTTTCATCTTGGGAAAAACTGCAAACTTTCGTTTGGTTGTGGGGTCATTGCGTGAATAACCTTTTATTAAGGCTCGCCCGTATTTCTTTATTGCTTCTTTAGTAGTTGATTGTTTAACTTGTCAAAGTTTCAGCCGTTCTTGTTGGGTACACCACATAAAGATATAGAACTTAATAGTTGAACAGTCTTCCTTTGCAAATTGATCAGAATTTTCATTGGCTACAATATTTCAGTACCATTTCAATATACCGTATTACTGTTTCCATTTCCATTCGTTTAATAATGATAATATAGATGTTAATGAGTTTGGATCCATTTTAATTGTCGCTCTCGATTTCATATTAATTAAGTTTTAGACACTCTTTGAATATATAAATTGCTTTTAATTTATAATTTTCAACTGACTGATTGAAAATTTTAAATTAAAGATTAACTCCTAGGTGGGCCTTAGGTTTGAGAAAAAGGTAAACTGGATTTGTTTAAATCTAGCCCGTATAAAATTAAACATTATAAGTAAGATACATCAAACATAAAAAAGTAAATCTGACGTTGACATTCATATTTAGGCATTTGTACAAAAAAATAGGTCCAGAAAACAAAACAAATCTGACGTATTATATTAAAACGCTAAAAATAATAACTGCTTTAATAAGGCAAGTCCACTAGTTATCATTTTGTCTACATATACAGCGTCATCAAGTAAAACCAAGCAGAGCTTATGCTATGGGTACCTACTAAACAACTAATATGAATACATTTTTGTAATTTCATTCTACTTATAAACACAAATGTTTGGTTAGTTTGTTTTCGGACTTTATGACATGTATTCTAATGCTGTTGGTCGCAGCTGCTTTACAGCTACACCGAACGATAGAGCACTCCAAACCCACGGTAGGACTTAAGGAGCGGCTGAATGTCAACTCCTGCACGATGGATACGACTTTAGTCTGAAGTCACCGCTAGGAATTTATTTGCACCAGCTCAGCTTGTCGCAATTTCGATCTCCGTTTGAATGTCGAGGGAAGTGAGAATCGAACTGTCGATCGGAGTTAATGCGGTGTACTAAATCCATGACTCTGTGAAATATATAACAAGATAATATTATTTCAATTATTTTATAATTACCTAAATGTAAATTGTATTTATAACTACAATTATGTAAAACTTCAAATAAATCAAATGCAGTCTCTAAGAATATATCAGCGCTCAGTAAGTCCACTAGCTGAAGTAGTGTTTAGTATATATACCTATATACAGTAATATAATGATTTAAGTCATCAATGACCAATAAGTACATGACCTGCATTCAATATTTGGTTACTTATTTATCGCCTCATCACTATGAGGACAACATGAACATGTATTTTCTACATAGCAGCATAACAGTAATCATAAACTAGTATAGCAACATAACATAATACATAAACTAGTTGACCCGGCAAAAGTTGTTTTGCCATATAAATTAATATCGCTATTAAAAAATAGTTGATGATAGAAGAGTTTATGTATTTTTATTGTATAGGGGAACATTTAGGGTTTATGTATTTTTTAATGCCAGATCACAAAAAAAGTAGATAACAACCTATTCTCAAACCTACTAAGTATATATATAAAATTTCAGCAAAATTGGTTAAGCCGTTTCGGAGAAATGTGGTAACTATCACTGTGATACGTGAATTTTATATTAGATACATGGCTTTATTTATTGATGCTTCAAATATTTTTATTTTTCGTACAGTATCAGGAATTTATTCTTGATAATAGTCATAAATTTTCTCTCTACATTCTACCAAAAAATTAAGGTGATAGTATAAGAGTCCATAGAATATCGAGCAGCTTGAGTCTTGAGCTTTTCTGAAGTAATAGGTGAAATTATATACGCGACGTAACAATACGTCGCGTCGACGACGTAACAATAATTTCACCTATTATTTCATTATATACTATAAAACCATATCTGTAAATACTGTATAATGAAGCCAGAAAGCTTCCGTTACATTATTAATAACTTCTCAAAGTTTCTTTGGACGAAATTGAGTCAAACTCTCTACAAACCGTGCAAGTTAATTTCAGTATTTGAAAATTCTTTAGAGCAGCGCAAAGTTTGCTCGATGTGCATTCTTCATTAAGTAATGTGAATTTATTCTGAAAGGCCCAAACTGCCTCGCCCGCTTTGTCTTAATTATTAGCATTCTGTTTCTCCCTGGAGATAGTTTCGAGATGCTTTGTAAACATGTTGATACATATCTCAACGTAAAAACTCTAGAGAACATCAGATTCACGCATAAAATATACAATCTACAATGTTCTCTTGAAATCTTTCAATAATGTACATATTTTCATAGAACAAACTGTTTAAAAATTCTTTAATATTATGAAATATTCAGAAGCGATTCAATAACGAGCATTTCACTTGTTTTTAAAAGCAGAAATGCAAGCAAAAGGAAATAATGAGAGTTGTTATTTCTGTGCAGTGCTCGCGGGCGAGACCACGGAGCTCTCGAGCTCGAGCCGGGATACGCTCGCTGAATCCTCGCCAACTAAACTTCCAAGTATGTCTTTACTTAATAGACAATCGCCATAATAAGATCTCACTATCTACTAAAAAGAAAAAGTAAACGCCAAAAAAAGCGCGCGAAACTCTATGGTCGCAAATGATTTTCATGTAAGTAATTGTCATTCGACAGGACTCCCAACCCACGCCGATGCAGCCGGTTCAATTTTAGATGTCTACAAAGTTTCCTTAAACACGCACGGGATGGTAGATTAATCGAAGTTTGCTACCATTTCGACAGCGGACAGACAAAGTTTTAGATATCGAAATTGAACGACAGACACAAACTTAAGACAGCTTTTAATGACTTGTGCTACGAACGATTTAGTTAGTCTGATTGTTGTGCCTAAGTATTTCATAATTATTCCTTGACCACAGTTTTATTGCGTTAATATTATATTATAAAAACAATAATGTAGAATTAACGAGATCTTATTCTGGTCGAACTGCATTTTATATTTACGTACTTATTCGTTTGTACTTTTAGTGCACAAATTATATTCTCTAGCACAATCCCAGTAAGTAAATAAATACCAAAACCCGAAAATTTTACTGTAGTGTGGCTTGCAATAAAATTAAAAAAAAAACAAAGCCACGTCTGGTCACAGAAGTACTGCTGAGTGTTTACAATAAAAAATAATGTGATTCCGATAAAGTTAGCGCAGCGATCGGAAAATGGGAAACATTAAAATTGGCGATTTTTCCAAATGTGCAAATTCCCAGAACCCTGGCACAATATAGATTCCTATCACTGTCATTCCATTTTTGATGAAAAAACCCCCACTGAGGCACGTAGTACGAGTTTGTCAACCCCGTCAACCCTATATTTCATAACAACGTCCGAACTCCCAACTGGTGTTCTAAAATTAAATATGATTTATTTTTTTTGGTAGTGATAATCCATAGCATGTCAATAGCCCCAGTCTGTGTTATTTCTACCATGGATATTATATATATGTTTAAGGATAACAACACTGAGCAAGTAATCACTTCGTTTTTAAATAACGATATCCTCAAGACACGAGACCGTCCTTTATACAAAAATGTATTTTGTATAAATCCATAGTAATGAGGTTCATAATCGAGTGTCTAACACCGGCAAAGCCTTGCCGTGACTCGGAAAGTTTTAATGGGACTACTAACAAGGTCGAATGAACCTCCAAAGAAAACATCTCTACATTGTAACTGGAGAGAACTGAAGACTGTCGAAGTACTCTATTATTGCTCGGCGTAACCACTCCCTTACTAAGACGGTCTTACCGTCTTAGTAAGGGAGGGTATCAACTATATGTGTTAACCAGGAGTTAGTAAGAAATATTTTATACTCTTCTTGGATATTCATGATTAATATTGAATGAAGATTTGAAAAAAAAATATATTTTATTGTAATTGTGTTATCTAATTCTTGTATTGTATTAATATTACCTATAATACTTAATTACATTAATATTATTATAAATAGTGTAATATTCGATAATAGTCACAGCGGCTTACTTCTGATGGTTGCGGATTCGATTCAATCCAAGGTACGACTAATACAACGAACATTTGTATTCATGAGTTTGAGTGTTTATTATGTACAATAAATACATATATAATGTACATATTTACAAAAAAAAATATCTATGTATTTATATCCGTTCTCTAGTACCCATAACACAAGGTTTGCTTAGGTTGGGACTAAATGGCGCTACGTGAATCATCCTAAGACACTACTATTATTGTACATGTATTTACAAAATAAAATCTAAAATCTATCTATCAGTTGTCTAATACCCATAACACAGCTTAGTTTGGGATTAGATGAACACTCTTTGAATTGTCCAGGGTTATAATTATTATTTACTTTATTTTTACAGATAGGTTAGAGTTTTAAATTATGAATTTTAGTTTACTTTATGGTTTGCAATAGCAATCTTCCATTGCAAATTAAGAAGTACAACGGACCAAAAACTCGCAAAGAAGTTTTCACTCTGGTCAACTAACAAGGCGGACTTATACATTACCGACCACTGACACAAACTGGCCATTGTTCTAAAGTAGAAAGTTTAATGAGTTCAGTAACAGGAAGTGACGGACCCTAATTAAGAAAGAAAAAATAATGGACAATCACATTATCTGGGTACATTCTGGTTATTGTAACTTGCTCCGTACGAAAGTTTTGTAATAAACGCGGGGAATGTTCTCATGTACTTAATTTAATACATTACAAGTATGTACATTAAAGCGTACTAGTGGTTATCCAATGGTCAAATTGAAAAATAATTTTAGCCGCTTATAAACGTAAATTTTTTTATCTTATAATTTTTTCCCTGCCGTCCACTTCCGTATATAGATCCACTTGAGAAGCACTGGCAAGAAACTCAATTTAATTATTTTTTTTTAAAGCCAGTTTATTTACAATGATATTTATATAGGTGTCTATGTATAACATTAAATGAAAATTCCGTGCATGAACAACTATTGCCATGCACGCTCATTATTCAAGTAATCGTTTAGTGAGTTTTTGGTTCGAGGAGAGAGGCTTTGCTTCGAAATTCGACCATAATCAATTTAATTTATTTAAATATATTGTAATTAGTGAATTTATTATGGTTATGTTTGACACTAGTAGTAGGACTATAGTTATACAAATAATATTAAAGACAAACAACACTAATCTGTTTTTAATTTAACCACAGACTTCAACAATAAATAAAAGACGATTCAAATTAGAAGAACTGGCAAGACTGAAACGTAAATTTCAGTTTTTAAAACCAGTTTGTTTATATTGTCTACTTATATAGGTGTCGATGTCTAATATTAAATGAAAATCCCGTGCACGAACAACTATTGCCATGCACCTTCGTTATTTAAGTAGTAATAAGTTAGTGAGTAATAGGCTTTGCTCAGTAAATATGATTTAACAGATGTTTTAAATTTATATAAAGTAATTTTAGTATATCCTTTGGTATCTTATTGTAATTTTTTATACCCATTCCCATAAAAGATACTTGGTAACAGAAAATTTATTATGAAACTTAGATAGTAAAAGACTCAGATATGAAATTGGATCTGTAAAGTGGTGTTATATTAAGTATATAACTTTAAAATATTTCTACTATTTATTTTCTGCGAAATGTACTAAGGAAGTAACGTGTATGCTTCTAACAGCCCATCCGAGCGTGAATATTCCATTGCTTTGAATTTTCTAATGTCTGAAGACTTGTAAAGAAGTTCTTTGTAAGACGCTCGGTGCATTTCAGTATAGAACATAAGGGTGTACGTATTGCATAGAAATAAGTAAAGGAATCGTTAAAAAATAATTTAGTCTCAGTATTTTAGTTTTAAGAGTTTTAATCAAATTAATACAAATAATTGGGATAAATTAGGAATATTTAGATAGGTAGGATATTATTCTACAGTACTTGCTTTATGCAGCTATGCTCGCTAGTATAATATATAGTGTCATATATACATATATATGTGGATAAATATCTTACAGCAATATATGTTCTATATATATTTTGTCATAAAGTTATTGTTGTTCTATTTTAACAATATATATTGTTTTACGAAAAAAAGACATAAGTACACATAAACAGGTTCTCGTTAGTAGGCAGTAGGGTTTTATCTCAATTTTTCAGCGAAATTAAACCACAAAACAAAGGAGAGATTTGAGGGTTTATGAATGGTCCCCGAGTCGCAACTCGGCGTGCGTCCGACGGCTTACAACGATGCGCTCTCAAACAAAATGCCTCACTCTAAATGATATATCTACTCGGTTCATACAGCTATAAATATACCTCGATACAATGTATAAATACTTACGTTTCTTTTAATACTTTATACGAGTATTTACTTTGTTTTATTCACTCACTAGCTGACCCGCGGAACCTCGTCTGCATCACACTTACTCACTTACATGATTTTTGTCCTAAATATTTTCGCCTAATTTACATAATGTCATTTAAAACTAGGTTTGTTGCCGGTATGTTGTTTAGACATCAAGTCCCATGTTGAGCGGAGTGTTATTTATAGTTTTAAAGACTCGACTTGGCGTATGAAATAGACGATGATACTCAAATACCCACGGAGACGATTTTTTACAAAGTCTAAATGAAAACGTCAGTAAAATCAGTAAATCAAATACGACCAATATTTTCCATTAAAACTAAATATCTTAACCTGTCCACAATTGGCAAAAATATTGCTTTACATACACACAAGACACGTTTCTACTTTCTATAACTTTTGTTGATAACAGAAGGTATAGTTTGCGAGCCTGAACCTAAATTCGTCAATGATTTCCTCTCGCCTTCTAAAACGGTCAAGATAGTTGTATTATGAAGCAAGTGAAAATCAGCTGCGGTTTCGAGGGTGGATTGAGCAACAGGAATGTCACAAACTATTAAAATATATTTGTGCTACAAATAGACCCTATGCAATAAAACTTTAAAGTTCATTTCAATTCATGTTAATGAAATTTATTAAAACAGATCTTCTACTGTTTAGTACAAAAACTGGCGTTGTACAAAATTGCTCTCATTGATGTTGGCTCGCGGGCTAGTAAAATAATAGATTATACTTATTATATTCCCCAACCCGATCTCGGCGGCTGTGATTGATTAGTTCCACTGATGGATGCGACACTATCAGCTGTGTAATGTTACCGCTCTAATAAATTCCATATACGTTATTACAAACACATATTTCTGACGTCACGTATTCTGAAGAAATATCCGTAATCTACGAATAACAGTATGAAAAATGAATAGAAATCTTTATTCAAATAAACTTAATATAAGCAATTTTGAACAGTGACATTTTTTTATTGTAGCTCTCATTAAAATTGTAAAATAATAATACAATTGTTAAAACAATAGTAACACGAACTTTACAATTATTTTAGATAGTGTCGATGTTGTGGACCTCTGTTGACCACTTATTTTTGAGGGCAAGTAACTTGCTTTGTAAGTTGTATTTCGGTTTTAATGTCAGAGAAATTAGAGTATACGGAGGCAAAATGTATAGTAACATTTCTTTATCGTGTGGAAAATCTTCAAAACACCGTCTCACCTCCAGAGGGATGAAGAGTGTGTGGGATTCTTATTCACTAAAAAACTACCGCATTCTACCGTGATTCCGGCGGTGTTGGCCCGCCCTGCAACTGGTATAGGGCAGGCCCCATCTCATTGTTAGGGCGACCTATCTCGCCCTACTCAGTTGTGGAAGCGTGTGGGAACATACGCTTCCTAGTACTCCGCAATAGCAACGCATTAGAATAATCCTTAGGAATAGCAATATCACGTCATCCTACGATACTGTCTGTCTGATACGTTGGCATTTCGTGTATACCTACTCGTATAAACGACGGTTTCTACTTAACACTTAAACACTTTGTCAAAACAGTAAAAATAGATTTGATCTGTAGATTTCCTTTTGTAATATTTCTTTTTTGTTAAGAAATATACTGTTCAATAATTCTACGTCGAATAATAAAAAGACGTGTTGGCCCAAAAGAAAAGGTCATTATTGTTTGCATGATAGCATCTAAGGAGGTTCAGCATTTCTCAAGAGTTTTGAGCTAGAAAACAGTCTCTTGACCTAAACATACTTCGTTTCTTATACAGGGCTAAAAAAATTATGGTTTCATTTTTATAATGACAATTCAACCTAAAAAAAGCTTAACAACCAAGTGTAAGCAGCACTTAACTTCCTTGGAATGAAATCTTTTGTTATATTATATTAATTTTATTATTTACTATTAATTTTAATAATAATTTGTAACTTAAAATAGTATTAATAAAATTGTAACAATAATATACTTTTCTTATATCTCGGACATTGTCTTATCCACTGTCATAAATTATTTTTTGAAAAGGATATTTGCAAAGTAAGCTGCTTAGCGATGGAAACATCATTAGGTATATACTACTTTTTCTAATCTATTAAGGACAACTCTGTTGTTATCCAAAGTCAAACTCTATGGTAGACACTAGTCCAAAGCTATGGGTAATAGATAACCGATAAAAATATTTCCTTTTTTTATAAATACCTACATAGAAAACGCCCCATACAAACAAACATATTCATGAATACAAATTATACAGACCAAAGAAAGTAAGACAGTATGCTAAATTGTTAGACCACCTAGGCTACCTATACGATTATTCAAAAGTGATTAAATTTAATTTTATTTGAATAAAGAATTGAATAATGTTACGTGCAGAGTGCGAAAGGTCATATACGACTATTCAAAAGCTATTAAATTTAAGTGTATTTGAATAAAGAATTGAATGTTGTATGCAGAGTGCGACCGCACGTTCGTGAGTCGCGGAGGGACCACCAACGGCACCTTCCACGCCCCGGAGCTGGTGAACCCCGGCAACCACAGCCGGCAGTGCCTCTACACGTTCCTAGCGGCGCCGGGGCAGCGCGTTCTAGTCCAGTTCCGCACCTTCGAACTACGAGGAAAACCACCAGAGTAAGTGTCAACCATTTCGTCATGTTGGCGATGTATTTTTACATATTAGGCTTCCGTGTCAGACTTGGCAATTTTGAAACACTTATATCATCTTTAAATAACTATTACCAAGTTTAAAACACTATCTTAAGAAATACAAAATACGTTAAATTCTTGAACAATAGTTCAATTTGGTCTATAACTTCGTACATCTACTTAGATATACGATACTATATACACTATATATAGATAAATAGACAAATCTATGGCGTATCATGAATATATTAGCTTCGGTGTCAGGCTTGCCAACATTAAAACAGTCATGCCCGTTTTCAACAACCAAGCTCTGACGTGTCCCTAAGTAAGTATCCGTATAAGTATAAGATTAGAGTACAATCAAAATAAAAACATAAAGTAAAAACAACAAGATGACTGCTGGCATAGACCCCTTGCAGTTTGCCATAGATCCCTGAGGGTCGATATAGACCACTTTGGGAATCGCTGGCCTAAAATATAATTATCATTATTCTAAATATCTTACTAACATTATATGAATAAAGGTAATAAAATAAACAATGCCACAAACAGATTTCAGTATATATTCTATTTTTGTTATCTGCAAAGCCCATAATATTATTCATTCATGGTCTTCTTTACCAGTAAGCAAAACCACTTATTCCATATGTCAACTATGAAAATATTGATATCTATATTGATAGTACCCTAGTTACAATATTTATAGAGTAACCGTAAATATTTTCTTTCTTGTCCTACTTACGTGCCTTTATTTCTGTCCCATTCATTTCTTTAAGGTTGACGTTTTAGGCAAATTCAACCTGTCAAAATACAGTAAGTATGTGTTTATAAGTAAGAAAATAAAATAGATTTGCCATTTAAAAAAGAAGCACTAGGTAGAATCTAATTTGGAAATTTTTTCTTTCCTTTATTTCTGTTCCATTCAAGCCCACTTCTTTAAGTTGACGTTTTAGACAAATTCAACCTTAGAGTAAGTGTTTATAAGTTAGAAAATAAAATAGATTTGCCAATTAAAAAAGAAGCACTATCTGTTTTCAATCAGTTAACGTTAATTTTAAGTTAAATTATCAGTTTAGTTTTAAGCCAGCTCTTCAAGGCGAATTCACTAAGATTAAACTGCAATTTGGACAAGGGGAACCATGTAAAAGCCCAATTAATAAAGTATATTCCTAGCAATGGAACTTTATCTCATCCTGATTACATCATATTTTCATTCTATCTAAGTTAGTAATATAACCCATTGTAAATATTACTTGCTATAGTAATTTAATATTTAATTACATAAATTTAGGGTATAATATTGCACTACGTAAATGAGTGATAGCATTTTTACCAACATTCTATTCATCGATTATGAGACATATTTTCATAGTTGTTTTTTTTTCCAGTGGGGCCGCAGTGGGGGAGCTTCCAGCGTGAGTATATCTGCCATCCCTTTTATCCCTTTCCACTCGCCTGTAAATTATGCGACGCAAACATGTTTTCTTTTCTGAGATTTATTTGTGCTTTGTATTGACGTAAGAATTAGGTCAAACTTTATCAGGTAATCTTGGATTTTGGTATAACATGAATGTACTATTATGTAGAGTATGTATTACTAAACACATCTTTACTATCTCATGAAAATAAAATATCCTACATGAATATATATTCTTGTAGGACATTTTAGCCGCTTATAGAAGCCAATTTTTTTATATTATATTTTTTTCCTTACCGTCCAGTTCAGTATATATTTATATAGATTTGAGAAGAACTGGCAAGAAACTCAATTGAATTACTTTTTTTTAAGCCACTTTATTTACAATGTATATTATATAGGTAGGTATCTATGTCTAACATTAAATGAAAATGATATAGAGAAGTTATATATACAGTAGGTTAAGAATCTACTTACAAAATTTGCAAAGTGCGACGTAATCCAGTGATTTACGGTAGAGCCCGGTGGAGCAGTTTGTACTGAATCTTAACTTGAGCGTACGATCCGTCCCTAATAAATATACACAACAACATTCCATTGAAGAACATTCTAGGAATTAAGCATCGTTTATATAAATTTATATTCCAATTTCACAATCCTCGTTGATTTATTTAGCATATTTTTTTAAATGCAAATTCAATACCAAATAAGATGACGGTACTTAGTAGAGGTAGACTAAAAAGTCTGCGTAGGTACCTCAGAGGCACTTATTTCAGCTGCCTAACAGCTTACTTTGTAAGCTGTTTGTAATGTCAGGTTAGAAAGAGAAATTATAGAAACAAATCATATAATTTATTTGCAGAATATTTATTTATATAATATTTATTTGCACATGCGTATACTAAAATATAAATAATAATATATAAATATCTATATAAAATTTATACATTTATACTCATATATGTTACATTCCATTGATAAAAGAATTCTTTACCAATTTTTTTTTGCGGTCTACTCTAATGCTGTTGGCTACAGCTGGCCTTAAAGCTTTACCGGAAGATAGGGGACGACTGCAGATGGCACTCCAAACCCGCGTACTTTTGGAGCGCTGAAGACCAGCTCCCACCTGACGGATACGACTTTAGTCTAAGGGCACCTCTAGGGCTTCAAACCCCGGCTCAGGCCGTCGTAATCAGATCCATCAGAGTTTAAACCATTCAGGAATATGAGTTCAAGTTATTAAATATTATACTTGTAGCTACAAACTACTGATTTTCAGATAAAACATTTAAGATTATGGCATTGTAGATGTATGCACGAGTACATGGACATATATTCGGAGATGGCGTCCCTGGAGACGGTGGAGCTGGTCAACTCGGCGTTCGGGGGCCGGTACTGCGGGCCCATACCACCGAGGCGGCGGGTGTCATTACATCGGGCCGTCGCTCTCTCCTTCTACACCGACAAAATGTACACACCGCCAACACTCTTCACGGGCAGCTACGAGTTCATCAACGCCAGTAAGTTGGAGTAATCCTAACTTCCTTATTAATATTATAAGGCTACTTTTTAATGTGAAAAAGGGTTGTAAGGGGTTGAAAAGGGAGATGAATACACACCGCCATAACTCTTCACGGGCAGCTACGAGTTCATCAACGCCAGTAAGTTGGAGTAATCCTAACTTCCTTATTAATATTATAAGGCTACTTTTTAATGTGAAAAAGGGTTGTAAGGGGTTGAAAAGGGAGATGAATACACACCACCATAATTCTTCACGGGCAGCTACGAGTTCATCAACGCCAGTAAGTTTGAGTAATCCTTACTTTCTTGATATTATGAGTCTACTTTTTAATGCGAATAAAGGGTACAACCCTTTATTTATTAGGGGTTGAAAGGGGAGATGAATATACACCGTCAACACTCTTCACTAACTCAACAAAGCAAGGAATCGTACCCGTTACTATTAGATGTAAAGCGGTGTGCTGTACCACAAAATTATCGGGGCCTGCTTACCTAGGGACTGACGCTGTGTGAATTGTCCTGAGATACTGTTATTATTATTGTTGTAGCCACCAAAGACAGAGACCAGTTTAATCATAGGAAATTCACTTAATTAAAAGTTTACGGTTATATTTTAGACATTAATTTTAAACGTATTTTGTAACTTTGCATATAGACTAATTAGGCGAACCTACCTATGGGTAATTGTGAACAATTAAACTCGTTTTAATAATTATAAAACAGTAAATTGAAATGTGACAACCGCAGATAAAACAGAGATGGATTATTTTTTAATTAAAGCAACGACCGCATTTATATGAATGATACAGAGAGATATCGGGTACGGATGCTCGTGGGTAGTAATCACTTACCATCAGGTGAGCCACAAGCACTTTGCCTCCTATGCTGTAGCAATAAAATAGTTGATTCTTTGATATGACAATATAAATGAAATTTTCGGTTCCTAATTCAAAAATTCTTCTTTAGTAAATAAAAAATTAAAAGTAAATATTTCTTACTTTGTTCGCTGGATGAATATTGCTCCAGCTGCTACATTTGTTATAACAATAAAATAAAAACTTGTTAGAATTTATTGTACGTTGAATTTAATAGTGACAATGTTCGCTATGAAGTGAAAAAAATTATAAAAAGTAAAATAAAACAATATTAATGTTCGATGCGTGACGTTCCAAACTTGAATTAAAAAAAAATATTTTTAAATGTATTATTTGGCTATTTGCGACCGCAAACACACTTTACTATTCAATATTCGCTAATTCAAGAAGTAGATACAGCAGAGTGGTTAGAATCGATAGTCGAATTTTACGAGACATCAAACTTACATCACTGTCTTTGTACATAATTTATTATTCTCATGTAGAACGAAGATTACTCACCGAAGGAATCTTGTAGATAGTACTTAAATATTTTAAACGTTCACCTACCCTCGTATATTCCACCAGATTGAACAAGAGAGCATGCCAATTTTTTTTTCAGTTTTATCAGCTCTGTATATTTATTAAAGGGGCACTATATAAAGGCAATTTTTCCCGAACAAATATGCTTTGTTCTTTTGCACCTTACTTTTCCAAAGAGATTCTTTGGAGATTAACATTTTATAAACATTAAATCCGCCCGAGTGCAAATACGGCCGTTTTCATAAAAAAAAATACCTACGCCGGATGTTTTGTTCGGTAAATTCTGCTCCATTAAATTTAGAAAAAATCGCCATAAAAATGCTCTGTTCTTTTACTAACAACTCTATATTCAAATATAATAAATGATTTATAAATTTTTAAACATTTTTAGCGTATTTATTATATTTCGCATTATATTTAAATTGGTAGCTTACTATGCTATAGATACCTATAGTGCTATAACAGTGTAAATATTTTTCTTAATGGATGATAAGGGCAAGTGCGCCCGCCTGCGCTAACAATATAGCTGGCGGGCACCAGCGGAGGAAATGAAATGAAATGATGAGAAAAGCATGAGGTCGGCTTGACTGATTTTTATCAAGTTTTTAGTGTACATTTAGTAGGTTTGAGAATATATCGGCAGTTATTTTTAAGCCCCAAGAATGTAAGAGTGTAGTAGAAATAATTTATATGGCAAAACAACTGGTCAGCTAATATTTATATATTTAAATCACTTCTGCATGCCAAAATATTATTCATAATTAACACTACCGGTGTTAAAAAAAGTGCAGAACGCATTTTTATTATTATTGCATAAAAAAAATTGTAAAATTCTCAGCGGACTTCGAAGTGGGGACCCCGGTGCCGAATACGATGTGCTCGTTCGTGATAGAGGCCAACAAGCGCAGAACAGGGCTGCTACTGTCGCCGACTTACCCCGGGATATACCCGAAGGACATCACCTGCAACTACATGTTCAGCGGGCAGCCGGGACAACGCATACGGCTCGAGTTTCGCGACTTCGATCTTTTTTTCGGCGGCCCTCAGTGAGTACATAGTTTTTTTAACATGTTGTTATTAAGGATCCGTGTCCCTAACCCTCTTGCCTTCCTTCCTTCTCGTAACTTCATATCTTTATCCTTCCACCAAAACACAGCTTACAACGTACTTTTCTGGACGGCGATGGAAAAATGCGGGACAGAGAAACACGTGCAGACGACTTTGTATAATACACCATACAGCGCCATCTAGTCGTAAACTAATCACAGCATAACATACATATAAAATCAATCAATCATATTCATGAATACAAATATTTGTACCGTGCTAGCTCTTACTTTCGATGACTGCGGACCATCATATGTAAAGTGGTATGTTAAACCGCTGGACCACCGAGGTCATATAAAATCTTCCTCGTTTAAACTACATTTATTCATATTTATTTATAGCTTTATATATATTATAGCTTGATATATATTATATATGTATTTTTGTATGTATATGCATGTGTTTTCATGTACTTACTTTCAGTAGGTATATACTTTTTATGACATTGTTTTTCTTATTGATTATATTTGCACCGCCTACAATTTTTCGCTGCACAACCTGTGGTAGAAAATTTTAGTTACGTTAGTCCGCTATATGTAATTTTCCCTTAATATTTTGTGCATTGGAGATATATAAATAAATTTTACCTGGATTGCAGTTGCCCGTTCGACTGGGTGCGCGTGTACGACGGGCCCGACAATTCCTCAGCTGTGATCGGCACCTACTGCGGCCAGCAACGCAACCTGGTGCTGTACTCCAGCGACGAGCGGCTGCTGGTGACATTCTTCACGCTGCCGCGCTCCGCCAGCACACAGAACAGGGGGTTTAAAGCAATCTTCGAATTTTCTGAAAGTTTTGTTAAGTTAGGTGAGTTCTATTTGCAATTTAAGATGTCTCCATATTAGCTGCCTTTACATGTACGCTCTTTCACGCGCGAACACGCTGTCACTCAGGAAAGAATGTGAATGTTAATGTATACAAATAGAACGAAAATAGTGTAAAATCATAATTATAGATTTATTGATAACTACGAGTAGCTACTCGTCCTGTCTTCGCACGGATGTACATGTATTATATACATAAACCTTCTTCTTGAATCACTCTATCTATTAAAAGATAAACCGCTTCAAATTCGTTGCGTAGTTTTAAAGATTTAAGCTATGTCCGTCCCTATGTATATAGGGACGGACTGACAGCGACAGCGACTTTGCTTTATACTATGTAATGATTTATACATAAATATTTAAAATGTCTCTGGAAAATAAAATTCGTGAACAATAAAATAACAAACAGAGACACACGCGCGAAAGAATGAGTAAAAAAATAGTTAAATCTTTCACGATTGCGCGAGCTGGCTGTCCTGCGCTAAATCGCGCGTGAAAGAATGGGTTGTGTAACATCAGTAGATTAGATTAAATAAAGTAAACTACAGTACAGAAAGAATATGAAGCAAGAGTTGTCAGACTTTACATGTTTATTTATCCGGTAAGAGTCCTACTATTTGTTTATCCTATAAGGCAACTGAGGCTTAATTATATAACTTCTGTTTCTTTTAGCAATTGCTCATTTTATATTTTATTTTTAACAGCTTTGTCAATGTTAGCAACCACGTGACAGAATAGCGAACCGTGAAAATCGGTATTAGTTGCAAAACTTTCAGTATAATTAAATTCCAATATAATAATTCGTTTATATATATGTATATATAGATAAAAATGCTAGTTGTTTCAATGTAGCTCGATGGAAATTAATTTCAATGCTCTTGTTCAGTGGGTAGGTACTCTTTATTCCATTAATCTAAATTTAATGTTTTGTTCTTTCAGATTTTATAAGTAAACACGATGCCGAGCACATTAGGGGCTCAGAGTGCGACCAGAAGATTCTTAGTAAAAAGGAGTCTACAGGATTCGTGTACCATCCAAATTATCCATTCCCGTATATACAAAAAGTTGTTTGTAGGTAAGCGTATAGCATATTATGCCTTGTTTTTCATTACCAGATAGTAGGGAAAAAAATTAAACCAAAAATTTTACGTTCATAGACAGCTAAAATGTCCTACATGATTTTGATTTGATTTGATTTAAACTCAGAAATTTAAATTGTATCAATTTGTACATTATAGGCACATGCCTGCTTACTGTGTACTACCCAATTGCCGACACAAGCAATTTCACCTCCTTATACATTTCACTAGCAATAAAAATCAATGTTCAAGTAACATTCAGCCGAGGCGGTTAAGTTGTTAATACCAATTTTTTTTTTCAGATATTTTATATATGGTATGCAAGATTCACAAAATTTAGAAAGGGTACGATTAGAGTTCCAGAACTTTTCTATTCCCAGAGGATTAAAAGAGAAACCGGAGTGAGTATTGGTATGATTAGTCTTCCAATTACCAGCTTTTGAAACCTAATTTATGTTACCATATTCGTTTACTATATTAAAGGATGCAAGAAGCAAATAGACTGAAAGGAGAGGTCCTTTCCATCTATTTACACAATGCTGCTGGAAAGAAACGATCTGACAAAGTATATATATCACACAGCTGTATCATCTTAATCGGTTCAACTTTCCAGGAAATTCATGAAGTAAATTCATTATTCATGAAGTCTAAGCCTAGAATTGCTTTCTTATTTCTTTCCTCTGTCTCTCTCTTCCAAGCAATATATCCCACATAGTGGTGGGGTCAGCTTTCCTTCTTTTTGTCCGCCACTTTACTCTTCTACTTTCCTATTTCTTTCTAAATTGCCAAAAACTCAATTATGTCATATGAATTATTTTAAACAGTTTAGAATTTGATATCTGATAATTTATTTTGCCTATTAGTTATTGTAAATTTTCCAAAGTATTAGAGATTTTCTTAACTTGGCGATAATAGCCTTAATGGTTATGTAACTGTTTACTGCTTTGTGATATCTTTTGTTTTATCTTTATTTTAATGTGTGCTAAGAGTTCAAATAATCTATCTATTTAGATAAACAACTCAACAATTATCTTTTCAGAACTTGCCCAGATGGTTATCTCAAGGTATACCTTCGCGGGCAAGAAGCGACAGATTCTTATGACAAACACGATGCAGAGTTGTGTGGGGAGGGATCCAACGGCCCGCCACCATTTCCCCCGCCGTTGGTGTCGGACGGGCCTCGACTTGTGATGGTGTTCAGCTCTGGAGAGCTACAGGGAAGGGGATTTAAGGCTAAATATACATTTGAGACTGGTAAGTAACCCGTATTCACTAGAATCATCTGTCTTCCGAATACTTTTAGCTATTTAATATAGAAAATGTGTTTATGAAGTCTTACCTTGCGATATAGAACGACTCAGGGCCAAAACATTGTACGGGTGCATTACAAAACTTAAAATTTCTCATCTTTTCAATATAGCATATATTTACATATAAACTTTGCTTTTAAATCATTCATCATCATCTAAGCGTACAGATAGTGGCGGCGACTTTATACCACGTAAACATAAATAAATGCATACTTATAGTAAATAACGATAATAGTGAACTATTTCTCATAAGCATACTTGAAAGTACATGTAAACGTAATTGCCGAACAATATGTAAAAATATCAAATTGAGTAATTTGGCGGCCAACAAAGGACTTTCTAATGTAACTGTAGAAGATTTTTAAAAGATAAGTTAGATTTTAATATATTCCATAGTAAGTATTAGTGATCAGTTCCATTTATTATTTATTTGACAATCTCTGTGGTCTAGTGGTTTAGCACATCGCCTTACTTCCGATGGTCGCGGGTTGGATTCCTCGCACAGTGCAAATATTTGTGTTCATGATTATGTTTGTTTGTACGGGTCTGGGTGTTTTCTTTGAATATTATGTTTGTATTTAAAAAAAAAATAGTGTTTATATTAGTTGTCTAGTACCCATAATACAAGCTCTGCTTACCGTGGGACTAGATGGTGCTGTGTTCATTATCCAGCGTTATTATTATTATTATAAGGTTTTTTTTCTCTGTGTATAGAATATCGCGTGCCGGGTACTGCAGCGCCGGGCGGGGAATGCGCGTTCACTTACCGCTCAGAGGCAAAGAAACGGGGAGAGTTTAACTCCCCACGGTACCCCTCCAACTACCCCTCGCGTACTAACTGCACGTACACACTAGACGCCACCCCCAACGAACAGGTCACTGTGGTGTTCGACCATTTTAAAGTCAGAGCTGATTCGTGGAACGCCACCGCTGGCCTTTACGGGTAAGTACCGATGATTATATCATCTACATAAAGTAGGAGTGTTTCGATTTTCTATAATAATATAGTTTTGACTCGAAAAGTGCCATTTAGGAATTTGTTAAACCAAAAGAAAATGCATACTTATCAAAATTTCCCTTGGCGTCTAAGAGACAAAAACATACTAGTTTATAAAATGCTCGGACATAGTTGAAATAATATTATTTTAAAAATGCTAGATTTGTGGTTTAGTTTTGTAGGCGATTCCCACACATAAATACACAGTTTCATAAATTTATTTACAATCATTTACAAATAAAATATTAAATAACTGTATGTAATAAATATTTGTAAATAACCAAACTTTTTTCAATAAAATTGCAATAACAAACAATATTGATAGTAAATGGCATAGGTGGCGATATAAATGAATAGTACATCGAACATCACGACATCATATGACGTCCGTGGTACCTTCAAGGGTTCCCATTGCGGATTACTGAGGTATTAAATCTCCGTATCCTGACATTTCGTCATGTCACCCTTCAACTAAACCATATGCTCTGTAGTGACTGAAATGGGTAAAACAGACACGAGCATCCACTCTGACGACTTTGTACAGACTCTGTTTGGTGTTTAGAGAAAATGAGATAGTATAAATCCATGCAGTTGTCTGTGCATCACTTCTTCAGACTCAACGGCTAAACGGATCTTAATGAAAATTGATATGACGAAAATGAATATTTTCTAACGAGGAAGGACATAGTGTATATTTTGTCGCAAAACAATCTGTTAACGATTATAATAACGGCCCGGCCGTTTAGTCGTGAAAATATAAAAAACAGACAGACATCCCTTCGTAATATTAGTACACATATGAATTTTAAAAAATCGTTTAAAATAATCAATTTATATGTGTGTATATTGTGTCGGCGTGCAGGGGCGCGACGTGCAGCGAGGACTGGGTGGAGGCGTGGTGGCGCGGACGCGAGGGCTCGCGCGTGGCGCTGGGTCGGTGGTGCGGGCCCGCCACGCCCGGCCCGCTGCAGTCCCCGCGCGGCGCCGGCGGCCTGCTGCTCGCGCTCCACACCGACGCCGACGCCGTCGCCTCCGGCTTCAAGGCCCGATACGTGTTCGAGGTTGGGCCGCTGTTTACTGTTATATTGCGCTGGGCCGCCGGTGGGGCCCGCCACGCCCGGCCTTATCTTAATATAATTTATTACTTTAGTGCCGCAATGACGGCATTAATTAACAATTTTCAGTATTGAGTGACTTCTGTTGTGGGGTCTGGTCTGTTCGGGCTACGGCCAGTAATTACTCTTATATGGTCCCCGATTCAGGGCCTAATTTCGTCAATAATTTCCTCTCGGAGAAAACTTCTAAAATGGTCTATATTTATATTTTTTTTTATAAATATAGACCGGCATAATATAGACCAGGTTTTCCTGGGTCGTGGTTTTCAACCCACCCCCGGAACCGCAGCTGATGTTCACTAGGCCTATAATACAACTATCTTTACCATTATAGAAATTAGTCACATCGACCTGTTTCTGAGTCGCGGGCTGATTAAACGTAACATTAATTGTTGTGTGGTGGTCAACAGCCGGCGAAGTCTATATTCGGCGACTGCGGCGGCAACATGTCTGGCGCGGAGTGGGGCGTGGTGACGTCGCCGCGGTTCCCGCTGCCGTACGAGCAGCCGTCGCGCGGCGCGGCCTCTCGAGTCTGTAACTGGTTCGTGACCGCGCGACCCGGCAAGCGATTGTTGCTCAATTTTGAACATTTCGCCGTCGAGGGACATCTCACGGGTAACTAATTTTTTATGTTATAATGTATTTTGAACTCTATGCTCCGCATTTAACTTCTCAACTGGACAGTTCTGCGTGTACAGCCAAGACTACTAAAGTAGCCAGCCAAGCTCCTCAAGTCACAGAAGCCTCTAGGGTAGTTATTTTAATATTGCAATGGCAAAGAAGCTTACGATTGACCTGATAAGCTGTGAACAGCACATATTGCTGTAAATAGGCGATGATTACTGCTTATCAGGTATCACTACATAGTCATGTGACGCCCGTGGTACCATACGTTGCTGGAGTGGAACGTGTTGCTTTTGTACTATTCTGTGTATGTACTAAACTATTTGTATCTCGTATCGCCTGAATATCTCTTACGTTACTGGTTGTTAATGTAGTTCAGATGAAAAAATAAATCAATCAATTCTTTTTTGGGTCAAGTCAAAGTTAGTAAAGATATTTTATAAATTAATTAATTATAAAAACTCTAATAATCTCTTTCTAATAACTCTAATTTGAAAGACTATCCATAAATTTTAGACATTTATTCCAGTTATGTGACCTACCTATGCTATGTAAGATCATACAGCTAAGTAATTACTTCAAAGTTCTAATTAATTAATAATATGTTGATTTAATGTTTGTTCAGAGCGTGGATGTCCAGCGGCGGTGCTTCGGCTGTGGTACGAGAGCCCGGGTCCACCGCTGGAGCTCTGCGGGGAGAAGGCGCCGTCCGACCGCTGGCAGTACCTCTCCTCTTCTAACTCAATAAGGCTGTCGTGAGTAATTAACACTTCATTAATAAACTTTTAAATTTACAATATTTTTATATACCTGGAACAGCAAACAATCTGATCATCTAGTTGATAGAACTCAGTACTTACCTATATTCTTGTATCACGTTGTCAGAGTAGTATCACGAACATCACGTCGTCAGGAGAACGCAACACAAGCATTGGGTTCACTAATTTTATTATCAAAGTTAAAAGTATGGAAAGTTGGGTGGCAGCAATTAGAAATGTTATTATTTACTTTCTCTTTACATGGACGCTTTTTCACGCGCGAATCGGATATGACGTGGGAAAGAGTGTGCATGTAAGATAGACAAATAGAACGAGAAAAGAGCGCGTCATTCCGCGCGTACGTAGTGCATGTTTTTGCACGTTTTTGTAGTAAATAAGTATCACTTGAAAATAGCGGCTGACTATAGAGCAAGGATCTAATTACAGATTTGTTGGTAATTTTGAAATCTTAAATGTGCAATAAACATAACACGATGCAATAAAAAGCAATCGCAAGCGAAAGCAAAGAATAAATGCAAATAATCACTCACGATTGCGGGCAAGCGCTTTCCGGCGATAAATCACACGTGTTTTTGACCGCGGGATCGCACGTGTCGTTTATGAGTTTAGCAAATTATCACTCCTAATTACGTGGAGCGTTATCCGACTTTAAATCACAGGTGTTCCTGAACCGGTCGTTTAATGGTTTAGAATATGCATATTTCAAATCGAGTAGCAGTGTTAAGAGAAAGAGATCGAGCTCTGGATGTTTGTTTCAAGATTTATAATAGCGGATAAAGCGGTGGGCGCGGCCGGGTGGCGCGCGGTGTGGACGGAGGTGACGGTGGCCGAGAACGGGGAGTGTGCGGGTGGTGCGGGGGGTGCGGGGGGTGCGGGGGGCGCGGGGGTGGAGCCGGCCGAGTGCGCGGGCGCCTGCCTGCCGCCCGCCGCCGCCTGCTCGGGCCTGCAGCACTGCGCGCTCATGCCGCCCAGCCGACCGCCCCACTGTTAGTACGCAAATCGCACGTTACATCTCCCCCTCACCTAATTTATAACCGATTTAGCGGTTTTTTGGGACGTGTCAGTTTTTAAATGTTTTGATGATGATGGTAGACAAGCTGACTAAAGGAAAGTGGTAACAAACTAACAAGAGTAGCACTGTTTTATGATAATATTGTTGCGTATTAACAAATACTTTGTTTTGTGGTTGGTTTTGGACTACGTAAAAATATTAACAGAAAATGTTTTGAAACTTACCGATGGAAAAAAGAAAGCATCCTACTATTCTACTACAAGTGGATTTAAAGCAAACTATCTATTTCAGTGTTTAGTAGTTATGCCTATAAATTCACGATAATAACATTCAACTGATAGTTTTTAATGACACGTCTCATCGAATTCGACATTTGCGCCACTAAATTCATCTAAATCCCCACATTTTCACACTCGTGTCGTTATGACATTTTTCAAACTTTTGAGGATTATCGCATAACATTTTACCATTTACTTTAAACTGAACAGTATGTAAAAATGTCATATCGATCTTCATAATTATATAATGGTTTATTCTACAGGCTTAATCTTAAATTAAGAGTTTAGAATTGAACGACACTAAAGTTGTCTATCTTGATCATTATATTATCTGTGTAATCTCTAACGTCAGTAACTTAATCTACATATCTAAATATGTTGTATTGATGTTTTTTCCTAGGTGTTGTATTTCAAGCGACTATTCGATTGAAGTATTTGTATTTGTTAAAGGTTTTCTTGTCTCTAAGTAGAGTTCGTATTTAATGGTTGTCCAAATTGGTACCGAAGACACTGTATTATATAAAATTGGCACCGCACTCTGCATTTCCACCTAATATTGTATTTACACTATTGCATTTTGTCGCATTATAGGGAAATAAATATGTCTATAAATTCTAATTAAAATAATGTAGCTTGTTGAATATTTACACGGAGTAAGCAGTACATTCAAGCATTTCTTCCAAATTACCGCTCATTTATGGCTTTGTATATTATAACATTGTACTCAGTTGCTCAGGATGCTTGTCATACACATTTGCTGCTGCTTACTCCTGCTTTTGTCTTCTATTGTTGTAAAATATTGTATTAAAACACTGTAGATCTATTAACTAATTAATCTCTATAAAATGAATAATGTTATGTTCACTATATTTAACTTTTCAATTTACTATTGATGGTTCAATGCAATCTTTGTCTCAAAGGATAGTACTGTGTGTAACCTTAGGATGATAGTATAGATAAAGTTTTAAACGAGAAACATATTAATTATTGTTGGTGAATTAGCAGAATATATTGACTATGTTGCAAGATTACTGATCTTTTTATTTACGTACTTCATCCTGTCTAAAATAATTTAAATAACTACAACTACTAATATATAAATGTTTTCAACTTTTCACACGAAATCATTTTTACATCCACGAATTCCACTCGAATCGTATATCTGTTCCTTTACTCTTGGTCTTTCTGCAATACTGTGATGACTCAGAAGAGTTCAATTACAATGTTCACATAAATCTAAAGCCTTCGCTACAGTTGTACAGATAAAAATATTTTTAGTAGTTTTTAAAATATCAATTAACGGTTTGATGCCATTGGACGAAGCTTGCATTGAGTCATCGCACTATGGGGCCCGGGGAATCGCGGCTGCTCATTTCACTTAAAGCACTTTCTGATTAAATTCTTACAAAGCAATTAACTTTCCAAATTTCGATGAACTGTTACTTATTTAACACTCGCAAATTGTTGGAACGATTTAAACGAATGCATAAACGAGTCGCGCATCGTGGATGGCAATCGGTCAGCCACGGAGAGTTAGAATCGGAAAGTGCGTGCCGCGGTGCGGCCGGGCCGGTGCTGACGCGGCGGTGTGCGCAGGCGGGGCGGCGCCGGGCCGCGCGGCCGCGCCGGCCGTGCTCGCGCTCTCGCTTGTGCTCGCCGCCGCGCACTGACCGGCCGCCGCACGTGAGTCTACACACACTCCGCCCCGAACACCCTCCGCCTCTCACGTCCTCATACTCTCACGCCCTCACGCCATCACACACCGCCTTCCTCATTCCTGCTCGCTTCTCATGCGTGAGCATGCTTACTCATGCTTTTGTCTTTTATTGTTGCAACATGTTGTACTAAAACACTGTAGATCTATTAATTAATCTACTATTGATGGATTCAATTTACTTATGTTGGTTCACTGCAATCTTCAATGCAATTTATGCATTAAATGTTTTAATGGTCTACAGACACTCCGCCCCGACCACCCTCCGCCTCTTTCGCTCTCACACCCTCACACTCTCACGCTCTCATACCCTTACACTCTCATACCCCGCCACCTAATCCCGGCCGCTTCTCATGCTCACATGCTTTTGTAGTTTGCATTCGGAACAACCGTCAAAAATTTAAATTGTTTATAATATTCGTTTAAGTCGCAACTTACGTGTTGTTACGAATGCAAAAACTTAGTAAGTATATTGAAAATATAAAAAGAATTCAACCGCGTCATCGAGCGCTACACGGTGAATGCACAGATACCTATATCGTGCTGTTATATAATTTCCTAATTCTATCCATTAATATTATTCATCTAATGTACCAAATATTGAACGTAAACAACTATTTACATCTAATATATGGAATATTAGATGATAGGATGAAATAAACAACGAACATCCGAAACCAAGTAATGATCAATAGTATTTTCTACAGGGGAAAGAAGTGCCACTTGTGGAATTTGTTCATCACCTAACGCAACGCTTAACTATGTGTTTATAACCGTTTTCTTTGTTCGAAAGATGTCTTCTTTCTTATTTCTCGCGTTAAACGCATTAAAGATTTATTAAGAAAAAGAGTGAGCGCTACAGACAAATAATAAGGTAGAACACATCTTTAAAATACTGCTTGAAGCCACATTTCACCTTACATTACATGATGCTTCCTCGAACTAAACAACACTGATAAAGTCATTAGTATCGCATGCTGTAAAAAGTATTTTAAATATAATCAAGTATAAAAATAAACTTTAAATAAAATATTGACTAAGCTTTACAACATTCAATGTATTTTTCAGTTGTTACATTATAAAATAATGTAATAATCCTGCATCTAATACTAAATAAAATAATGTCTAACTGGTTCTTATAACTTTGAGAAGTTGTTATTGTTCACTGCTATCAAATATTTGTTAAAAAAATGTCCAAGTTCTATACATATACCTACCTACACGATAAATATTAATTGAATTTTGTAAAGCGAGTCTTCTAAGGTATAATAAACGAGAGCTCCTTAAACTGATGACCTAGTTAGTCAGCTCCGAGTTGTTCACACACACTAGTGTCATATGAATACTGACCTACAGTAAAGCACCTGCAAGGTGTTCAAGAATCACTTGATATGAGGCACCGTAGTTTAGATGAAACGCACAGTCGTTAACTGAAATGTCTTTCGGGAATACAGTATTCGGAATTTTTTAAACGATGGGGCATGATGGACCAACACACCTTAACATATGGTAGAAAAATATATATTCGAATACACAATTAAAATAATATTATTTTAATTGTTGTGTTACGCAAGGAAGATAATCATTGGCCATATACCACTTTTTGTCGTTTTTTCTCTACCCAAAGATTGTTTGAAAAAGATTTCTCGCCTACGATAGAGACCAGACCGCCTTTTGTGCATCAAAATCTCTTGTCAGTATTTCTTTATTCTTGTACTAGATTTTTCATTTTGATACTTTACTCTCGAACAAACGGATTATGACTTAATTATTCATTAAGTACGTAGCTAATATATGGATAGGTGCCTTATTATGGACAGAGGTCTTTGTGTCTCGCAACTAGTCACCGATATAATAACGGTATAATAATAGACGAGAATATGAATACATTGAAGTATAACTAGGTAACCGTGTCCCATAATAAATGAGAACGGCTGTGTGGTCCATGATGGCCCATCGTGCGAAACACGAAGACTAACTCGGTCCGAGGCCGGCGTGGCGTGGCGCTGTGTGGTGAGGTGTGGCGTGATGTGGTGAGGTGTGGTGACGCGCAGGCGGGGGCGGCGCGGCGGCGGCGGGCGGGGAGATGCGCGGCGCGTGGTGGGCGGCGGCGGCGGGCGGCGCGGCGGCGGCGGCGGCGCTGGGCGCGCTGTGCCGGCGCCGGCGCCGCCCGCGGGCCCGGGCCCCGCCGCCGCCGCCGCGCCCGCCGCCGCGCGCGCTCGCGGCCCGGCTCGCCGCGCCGCAGGACACCGTATGACGGCGCGCCGCCGCCGGCGCCGGCACCAAGCACCACCTACTTAAATACACCACTTTACTGTATACACGCTTTTTATTCAAACGCACCCAACCCCGATGATAGGCTGTAGTTTTTTTTAAATTGAAACTTCTATATAGACGAAAAATTCTACCACACCCCGTGTTAGCAGTTTTTGGTCACGAAAAAGCTTTACCGGTGCGTGGAGGAGAGAAAGGCTGAGGGGGCAGAGATAATGACAAAGACAACGGTAGGTCGTTAAAGTTTCACTACTACTAAGTGACTCACACATTTAAATGAATGGTTACTTTTTTTAACTATTCTATTGCTGCTAGCCGCAGCTGACATTTACACTTCGCTTCAGGGGGCGAATGCAGATAGCATCCCCGCGGAAGAACTTATGGAGCGGCTGAAAGCTAACTCCTGCCTGACTTTAATCTAAAGGGTTCGAATTTCGGCTCAGGACGTCGAAATTTCGATACCCGTTTTAATTGGAGAGGAGATCGATCGGAAGGTTAATGAAATGGTGCACCCGGCTGCGCTTACGATAAATGCTGGCGTGCACCAGTGGAGGATGATAAAATGAGCATAAGGTCAGGTCAGTTAGCCAAGTGTAATGAAATAACTTGGAATGAACCCCGATGGTTTCCGGGGGAACCTGTAAATTGTTAACAATGGGGTAGAAGTTATTACTTACAATTCCTTCTCTCCGTTCAGCTTCAAGAATTTGAACATATTTCAATATTTTGCACAAGTTGGTGTATGTTATATTTGATTTGCGAATATATGCACCCATATGCGCCCTATGCACATATTTTAACATCGCTAACTTCGATGTCCGCACTAAAATCGACACAGCAAAATATAAAAGTCCAAATAAAATTTGAACATGTGGCCCGCGATTGTCTAGCGGTTTACCACACCACCTTTCTGTGGAGCTCGAATTATCGCTCGGTACTAACAGTTGTACTCATGACTACAATTGTTTGTATTGCCCTGGGGGTTTTCTATACCTTTACCTATACATTATGTATCTACAAAAAAAAAGTATATTCTTCAGTATCCAGTACCCATAACACAATCTCTGCTTAGCTTGGGACTAGATGACGTTGTGTAAATTTTCCAAGGATATTATTACATGATCATCAATCTTATCTACATTTATATTTGAAATAATCTAACGTCATTTTAAAAATCAGTGTAGATCGGCGAAGAGTAGGTGTACTTACCCAAATATTTCGGGATTTCGTGTCATCGAGAACCACCGTTTGCAGGTAAAGTAGACTTTACCAAGACCCTTCACCACTCTAGATTGCTCTGAATCGAAAATGTCCGAATTTACCTACTCAAAGCAGTAGTAGTTTTGGATAAACATATTTTAGTCATTTATGTCTTATTACGTACTAATTACTGTCTCATGAATATATAACATGCATTTCTGGAAGATATATTCCCCTCCGATTGATCCCCCGTCCAATTTAAACGGGGACCGAAATTAAGACGGCCTGGGCCGTGGTTCGAACCCGTAGCGGTGGTGACCTCAGACTAAAGTCATATGCGTCACTCCCACCTGGCCTTCAGCCGCTCCATAAGACCTTCCGCGGGTTTGTAGTGCCATCTGCACTTGCCTGTCGTTCGCCGAAGCTGTAAAGGCCAGCTGCGGCTAACAGCATTATAGTCCAAAAAATGAGATGTATTGTCATGGTACCATTGACGGATTGGCTGGTATACTAGGTATGGTTCATTATGTTTCAGATACGATTTTTTTTCTAATCACGCTAAAACCAAACCATTTTGATTTTCTCTAGCGTAGTGATAGGGACAGGCTTTTGGTACTAATTGTTGTGAACCCATGCTCTTAGGGCAGGTGTTAAAAGAAACAAACATATAATAAGGCAAACACAGTTTTGCAAATTTATTCCACATATTAAACTGATACAAGGTTGATACAAGTCACGAATTCTAACAGTATGGACATGCTATGTGGTAGAAATACAAAAATGTTTAAGTTTAGTACAGCAATAATAAACATTACAGAAATCCTGACTTTACAATACTACTTCCTCACACTAATGTATTTTAAATGGAAATATGTAATAAAAATAAAGCAAAAAAAAAACTAAAGCAGGAACAAATCGGGAAATGTTGTCGATTACAGATATTGAGAGTGGACGTTTGTTTGTTTGTTTTGGGTTCACATCAGCCGTTATTGTCATCAGTCATTTCGTCCTAATTCGATTCACCCTCGACTAGCGGTGCCTAAAGAACGCGAGCTCCGTGTTACCCACACACCTTATACGGGCCACACGGGAGGCGGACGATACCATTTTAGCCGCATCTAATTGTCAGAGTTCAATTCATTATATTAATTCATAACCTCAAATAACCTAAGTTGTAAGTGTGTCAAAAAACAACAGTCAAACTCCTTACAATATAATAATTACTGCTAAAATACACATCACATCGCAAAATGCGTTCTCAGGAATAAAATATATTGAATAACATGTATTAAAAAAAACAGACAGTCGACGGGTCCGCGACCCGAGCGCGCGACCGCAAACAGGCAACCGCGGCCGCGCGCCCTCCACATAATAATGTATATATTAAACAATACATACCTACGGCTAATACGACAGAAAAAACATAAGCATAACGGGAAACTTACATTCGAAACATTTCATAACGTCCTACTTTAAGATTTTTATGGAATCGATGCGATACAAAATCGAAAACTTGAAAATCAAATAAAAAAACACATATATAGAAAAAAAAGTAGAGCGATCCCCTCGGTACAGGGCGGGGACCGGCCGAGAACGGAGCCTTGGTCCGCGAGCGCGCGCGTCGCCGGCGAGCCTCCCCTGCGCAGCTTGTAGTGTCTCCGGGGCAGGGGCGCGGCTCGGCGCGGCCGCGGGGGGCGGCGGGGGCGCGGAGGGGGACGAGGGGGGCGGCGGGGGGCGCGGCGGCGGCCACTAGCTGGCGCAGCTGGCCGCCTCGCCCCAGCCGCACGCGGCGGCCGCCGCCGCGCTTAACCGCCGCTTCGTGTCCCCCCCTTGGTTCTGATGACCCCCCTCGAATTTACGTTTGCCTGCAACGCACCAAGAGTCTCACCATTCTGTCGAAGCTAAATTATCTATGGGTATATGCATACGAACTGTGAATACGCTAGGAACACTTAGCACCTCCTTGAAAGTAAAACAGACTTCAAAGGCTTTTCGTTATAAGTAATTCAATCACGGTAATAAAGGTATTTAATTACCAAAAGTGCACAAAGAACTTTTTTGCCCATGTTGTTTCAATTCCAACAAGAGAGAAGTGACTTTTCTACATTTTTAAAATTCACAATCTTACTAAGCATTATTCGCACTAGGAATATCTAATTGTAATCTAACGCTTCTTTTATTACCTACAAATATCAGAACTTCAAGGGTCTGCCACAAACTTATATCGCGAACCTAAAGTTAAAAAACAAGGGACTCGGCTCGGTAAAGTTTGGAATAGATACCGCAACTGCATCGTAACTAACATTAAAATCAATAACGTGTTAAACAATAAAATGTACATGTTAAAAAATAAAATAAATTAATATTTCGATAAAATACATTTATAAATAAAACAACCATAACTATTTGTAGTAATCAATGCCTTTAATATACCTAAACAAAAAACAGCCACTTCTAGAGTACCCACTTTCTACTAGACCAGTCCGCTTAGTGGCCGAGTGCCCGGCAAAAATTTTGCGATATCCTTTCAGTTATTAATATCTCAAAACAATTTACACTGCGCTAGTTTCAAGCAGAGCTTGTATTATGAGTACTAGACAACTTATATCTATACATAGATACATTAGTATACATGGAAAACACCCAGGCCGATACAAACAATCATACTCATGAATACAAAAGTTTGTACCGTGCGATGAATCGAACCCGTTACTATAAAAAAAGGCGGTGTGCCAAGCCGCTAACCACAGAGCAGGTCAATTAATAATTGTCAAGGATAGAATTCTATGCAAAAACAAAGTATTAAGTGTATTTAAAAGATGTTATACACAGAAGGGTGTTTGCAACCAATACTTAGATAACTTCTGTAACACATTACTACCTAATAAATGGAATATAATAGAAAATCATTTATTCAAATAAACTTAAAGGACTTTTGAATACTCATAGTTATCATTCTTTTAATCTACCGCTCACTCGGAAAGCTGTATCATCACATGTAACTTTACATTTCCAATTCGAAACGTGCGAATACAAACCACAAGAGCCAAATGGCACAATCGTTAATGTTGCGGTAACTATCTTTACTCTATGCTCGAATTAAACATCTAAATGAACGTTTGTGATAGACCTAAGGATGTAGGCTCTAAGGATGAAGGTGTTGGATAGGATGGGAGTAGGATATTTACCGATATACAAAGAATGACAATCCAGATTACACGCAAACCATCAAACATGCTGAAAAAGAAAAATTAAGGATATTTATCAAGTTATTATTAGATATTATATTTGCCGAGTGAGAGTCCAATGTTTTCTGTATTGATAATTTTGAATTTTGAATACTCTGCGTCAGAATTGTGACGGCATATCTATAGGAGTCTTATTTGTAGGTACGAGGTAAGAGATATAAGTTTCCTAGACTTTGATAGCTGTTTACCATAATGACAAGAGCGTGAACTTGGAATACAGAAATACTTTGGTACTAAAACTAAAAATCAAAAATATTCAACAAAGGACTGCGGGGAAAACAGATAATTTAACTATAGATCAGTGCCTTGGTAAAAAAGGAAAAAAATAGTAGGACGAAACCCATTGAAAAAGAAAGAGTCTCACTCACCCCATCTACTTCCCCGTCCTCAGATCGCCCGTAATTTATGTTTCCTTTACTTTTTTCAAGGATGAGAGCATTCTCATTCTTTTCCAATGGGTTTTCGCCCTACTATTATTTATTTTGATTTCAAAAATGATCGACACTGATCTTCAAAGCAAATGAATTTTGCTTTTTGTTCTACCTTCATACAAGGGCACATACAGTCATAGGGGGTACAGTTCATAAAGTTGTTCTTTTCTTAAGAACTACAAACGTTTTTATTGACTATTTAAAAACAGAAATATGGATACTTCTTAAAGAATAAGAAATAGTATAGTATAGTACTACCCATTTTTTTTAAAAAAGTATCTATTATATTTTACAGGAAGAATTTAATTTTCTTAGTGTATCTAAAATTTCAAACTACTTAATTAAATTTACATTCGATCGGTGTAAACTACAGAGGATAAGGTATTCACAAAGATCAGAAAGATGAGAAGGAAACTAACTCACTTGGTAAAACTTGGCTTGGCCCGCGGATTACCATAATTGGCGCCCTGCATACTCACTCGGTAATTTAGGCGCGCGGGTTACTACGAATGGCGCTCCGCGTCCGTATAGTGTCTCAGTGTACGCACTCACCTGGTAATCTTGGCTAGACGTGCGGGTTGGCTCGTACGGCGCTCCGCGTCCGTATAGTGTCTCAGTGTACGCACTCACCTGGTAATCTTGGCTAGACGTGCGGGTTGGCTCGTACGGCGCTCCGCGTCCGTATAGTGTCTCAGTGTACGCACTCACCTGGTAATCTTGGCTAGACGTGCGGGTTGGCTCGTACGGCGCTCCGCGTCCGTATAGTGTCTCAGTGTACGCACTCACCTGGTAATCTTGGCTAGACGTGCGGGTTGGCTCGTACGGCGCTCCGCGTCCGTATAGTGTCTCAGTGTACGCACTCACCTGGTAATCTTGGCTAAACGTGCGGGTTGGCTCGTACGGCGCTCCGCGTCCGTATAGTGTCTCAGTGTACGCACTCACCTGGTAATCTTGGCTAGACGTGCGGGTTGGCTCGCACGGCGCTCCGCGTCCGTATAGTGTCTGAGTGTACGCACTCACCTGGTAAACTTGGCTTGGCGCGCGGGTTGCCACGCATGGCGCTGGGCGTGCGGCGGCCACGCGCGGCGCGTCGTGCACCACCACGGCAGCCAGCCGCGGCCGGCGCCGCCGCCGGGCCCGCCGCCGCCCCGCGCCGCGCCCATCGCCCGCCCGTCCCACATGACCCAGCCCCCTGCACACGCACACACTCCCGCTCACTCCCGCGCTCCGAACAGAGCTCCCGCGCACTGCCCGCGTCGCACGCACTACCATGCATCCGACTCTTTACCAGAGTGCAGACTAATTTTGTTGTTGTAATAATATTTTGTTATAACCTTCAACAGCGTAGAGATTGATGTAGAGCTGACTTCAAAACTATATTGAGAACGTTTTGATTTAAATTTCATTAAATGTTAAAAAGTTATTGAGAAAATGATTTAAATGTAAAAATACATCTGATAAATAGCACATGTTGTCTATTGCATTTCTGGAATGACTAATGTGTAGATCATACATAATTATTGTCAAATATCACCGTAAAACCACATTTCAGCAATAAATTTTATGTCAATTCGTTTCAAACTAGCGTGAACTGTATATTAAGTTAGTTCCTTCCATAAAGATGACGATTATAAAGTCATATAAAATTTTATTAATAAAATTAATTTTCGAGTTTAGTATTACTAATACAGTTCTATTAGTCGGCACTCAGTTAAACAATTCGAACTACAGTAATGATATTATTCAGTCAATGATTTTATAATCAACTATAAAATATATAGGTATGGTGAACAACTTAAACTTGTTCCTCGATATCTTATACTAGCGTGATGAAAGGCTAAATGGAGGTAAGATTTGCGATCATCGACTAAATTAATCAATAAATGTCTAGGCTGCACCGTATTATTACACTATAGATTTACTGTTGACCAATGAACGCTTTGGGAACAACACGATAGATAGGACCACTATGATAACGTGCCTATAAATAACACATCTGTCTATAGTTCAACGAAATAGATAACGCAAAAACTTCTATTGGTTACTTTTCTTGGGTGTGTCGCAGCTATCGACAGATACAGCATATAAGTGCATGTACTATGTAGTATATAGTAGGGATCTATTTACTAATATAAGTGATCATGGCCGAAAGTTTTTCATAGTTGCCGACTCTTTAATGCTATAGGATAAATTAATTTTCACAATAGATTTACCCAGAGTTCTTAATAGTTGAACTGAAGTAGGATAAATTAATGTTCACAATAGATTCGCAATATACAAACGATATACAGTACCATAAGAGATACCATTTTTAACAACTTCTAAGACTAAATTCTTAAGGAAGATAGAAAAGTTACATTTAGAAAAATAGCTGGGACTCTAAATTGCAATTTATTTCTGTAAATACTTGACGTAACTTAAGAATTAATGTCGTACTGGGGACAATTTTTTTCTTTTTTGTTTGTTGGATTGTTTTGAGATATGAAGTTATACATGTTGTAAAGTAACGATTTCACACAAAAACAAATGGATAGAGAGAAATTCTCCGTAAACTTGTGAGATAGTAATGACTGATGACTGAAAAGAAAAAATTTGTACCCAAGTACGGCACTAATTTTTAAGTTACTTGAAGTTACTGTCGAAATATATACCCCGGCGGTAGACAGCGGTGCAGCCCAGATATGTAATACGGTGTATCACCAACATGCAAGTAACTTGCACTTAACTTGCACTTAAAGTAACTTGCTACCAAGTTACTAGAAGCTATAACTAAACGCGTTATTGGCAGTGCGACGGTGGCGTCCGAGCGAAATCGAGGAATAGAGCAGGTTTACTTTTGTGCAAGATCGAATTGAAATGAAATAGAAAATGGTCAATAAAAACAGAAATGTAGGCAATAAAATAAATTTTAAAACTGTAAAGCGACAATATCGTCTATGATTCCGATTCTATCTAGATTCGATTCTGTCAAAAGTTACCTTGCAGATTATAGACATCATATAAATAGTACATTATACGAATTATGCGAATCTATAGTATAATATATGAAATAAAATCAACCTCAGACGTCCACATGCTTGCATGGATCTTGGAAGACGCTAAGTAGATGTTAAGTAGATGAAATCACCGCATATTTATAATTATAATTTAGACAAATTTGGGACATAAGTGAAAGTGCACGTTGTACGAGTAGGTACTATGTCCCAAAAATATCCAAATTATAAGTATATATGTAGGTATACAAGCCATAAACTCGTAGAGTTTAATCATCTGCCATATCCATGTACCTAATATGAGACTTTATCCGGTTACATTAAATATTTTTATACAATGCATTAAATATCAAATAAACAAATTTTAAAAACTAAAGTAGACATATCTAGTATTGTAGATACAGAATATGTATGGAGTTTTTTAAAGTGTACATTACAAACAGTGCATAGGACGCTTGAGGCTATATGCCAAATAATATTGGCAAATTATGATCGATTTCCTTCTTAAAAATGCATGCTTTTTAGCAATGCTAATCAGCAAGACACAGTAACATTAAATTCATATTCGAGAATAAATAATACAAGCTGGTTTAATTTATTTATTCTATATGATGGCCAAGACAATCAAGACGTGTCCAATAGGTTTTCTGTTGTAGATACTCCCCGAGTTTAGTATGTTGAAACGACTAGTTGAACAAACATACAACCCGCAAATACATCGGTGCAAGACAAAGCATTTCTAAATAAAACCCTATACCCAATCTAGCCCGTATAGAAATAAGAGAAATAGATCTTTATTCAAATCAACTTAATGTAAGCACTTTTGATATTTTTTTTTATTCTACCATTCATTCGTAAAGCTGACTAATCACAATAACGTGCAAGAAACTTGCGTGTTGCTATTTTAATAATATTTTTATAGTAATTGGCTTAAATCTTTCTTTACCAAGGATTTAAGCCAACTATTTGTAGAAATTGGACGAGAAAATATTTTTTTAATGGTAATGTCTTTTTACATGCAGAATATAAAATATTAATTAAATTGTCATTTAATTTTAGTCCAGGATAAGATTAAACTTCTAAAGCGTTTAAAAACTATCAAAGATAGAAATAAAGATTGGCGTATAGCTATAAAAACCAACTATCACTTTGATGATGTCAATACCCGGCGCTGGGCTAGGTCGGTTCAGAGAAATCGACCATAAATTTGAGTCTGTTAATTTTGTAAGACAAACTATTATACAACTCGTCTCAACTAATCCGTCTTACTATATTAATAGACCCAATAAACATGCAAAACATCGAAGTCGCATTGCATATCAATATATATAATGCCTAAAATAAATCTAAACTATAGTTTCTAAAAAATATGTATGTATCAATGTAGATTTTATATATGTAAAAACGTGACAAAGAAGTAGTCTTCAAGATTAAGTATTAACATTAACAATGCCCATTACCACAAAAATAAATACACTACAGTTTATTAATAAACAAAAGTAAAACTGAAACAATCAGGTACCTAAAAGCATTCTAAGACGCGTAATACTCTAGGCATAATAACATTTAGTACATCAATACTAGAATACGTTCATAATAAATAACATTCGACATATATTGCATCGACATTACAAGAGTTCTACCAATCGTCGTAAAGCTAGCGACCGACCTCAGATTAAATAGATTCAGTAACTAAACCGTTTCTTCATTATTTGAATTGTAAATCTTATATTACACCCAAATGATGGTACTGCGGTAAGGCCTTCGAAAAAGAAGCCTGCATCGGTTAGAATGTTTCTGTCAGTGCTATTGTCAGAAATGTTGTATTCGATTGGAGCGTGTGGGTCAGTACGAATTAAGGAAGAGAGGACATTTCAACTGAAGTATGAAAATGAAAAAAAAAATCTGTCAATTCGTTAATCAAATTCATATCGTACCGGGAAAAAATCTGGGAGCAAAATAATCACCGGTCATTTTATCGCCGCAAGTGCTTTGTTTCTTACCGTATCCTCTTAATGGGAACAAATGCAATCCAGGCAAAAGTTCGGAAAAACAACCGATATGGAGCAGTGTGAACGGGTCAATACAGATCAGTAGCCAGCTTTAAGGGTTCTACACATCTATACGTAACATACTCGTACATTACAGAACGACTAAATAATATTGTTCAGTACGTATTGGTGTAAGGGTACCTGAATGCCTCCGGTTACATCGTAGTAAAGCGAGTTGGCCCCGAGACCGAGCTCATCGTCCTGAGTGAGGCATTTAACCAAGCGGGTCAGTAAGTCTTCTTAACATATTCTCTACCTCGTTGCAACAACGAGAAATGTTACAAGTTAGCGTTCCAAGCGTCGGATATATTTGTTGTGCGGGGGTGGCAAAGCTCCAAGCGTGATCGGTTAGTAATAAGCAAAGCGAAGCACTACATGATGGGTGGCATGCGAGCGAGATGATATCAAGCCGTACTAACGTGAAATGGCAACTGAAAACAACAGGTACTACAGGGGTGCTACTGCGAAAACTTAAAATCGCCTTCGATAAACCAAAAGATCACTAAACTACATCACAGATAAACTAAATTCCGAATAATAAAAGGCTTTAGTTTTGACAGTAGGGCCCCGTGTCTGAGACGGGCATGTTAGTCGGAGTGGCCTCAGCCATATAGACCTGATGGTGAGATCGGCCGACCAGCCACCCCGCGCCCTCTACACTTTTCCCGGCAATCAGTGACAAATCCGAGGCTGCGGCGGCGGCGCGGTGCGGTCGCAGGAGTTCGCGAGCGGTCGCGAGCGGTCACGTGCGGCCGCGTGCGGACGCGTGCGGTTAGTATGCGGTCGCGCCGCGCCGCCCCGCCCGCCGCTACTATCACCACCGTCAGGCCTACACACTACCGTCTTTACCGAGTCACTAACTCCATTCGTGGATGGGATTAAATAAAAAAAACAGTAGATGAAAAAATTTGGCAACTCAAAAAAATCGAAAGAACAATGATGAGTACAGCGACTAGTGACTAGTAAATAAGAGTGATAACATTAGTGAGTGTGTGTGGGACCCACCGGTTGCGCTCTGTTCGGAGGCTGGCGGACGGCGGACGGTTGCGGTGGCCCCGCGTAATCAAAATAGAACTCATCGTACCGGTAAAATGGCTCATTGTAGCCACCTCGGTAATCACCGTACCCGTAATAGTCGTAATCATAATCTATAAACACACAACACAGGCCTTTTAGAGGCTAAGCTAAACTATCGCTAACTTATAATCTACCGTATGGCGGCTGGCGATTTGCGAGCCTCCACGCACTCGTACCGGGAAAAGAGAACAGTTAACACATGCTATTTCACTTAACTCTGGGTATGGTACAGCACACGGGTTAACTCCAACACCTTAGCTTCCTTTTCTTTAGCTTACACACACCTGGGTACGGGCTCTGTACGTGTGCATACACGTGCGGACACGTGCGTACACACGCACGTTGCGTCGACACACAGAACAACATGCATCGTGTTCGAGTCGTCGTTCAAGAAACATGCTGTTTTTATGTCAAATGAAATCAATGGTTTTGATTCGGATTTGCGAATGGACTTCATTTCCCACCACCGAAGACCATATGAAGTAATGTAATCTGATGTGAATGCAATTGCTATTGTTAATATGACAAGTGTATGGTATGTCTCATGCATTTAAAACCGGAGGTCTAATAAAACCATTTATACACGAATAATAATATAATTTCCTGTATATAACCCTCCGAATTTAATAAGCCTTTCGCTACGAGTGCGTAATATGAATGGATTAGTATATTTTAATTGGCGGGTTACACAAAGCAAATTCTATTATGGTTCCTGAAAGCAGTTTTAGACCTCCTATATTGTTAACTTGTTAACACGGTAATGATGTCCTGTTTATTTGTAAAGCATTTTGTGATAACCTACCTTTCAATTTTCTTTCGAAACCATGCATTTTCTTAAACCTAGCTGTTTTCTAGCCTAAGAATTATAGCGTTAATAAAACATTTTTGTAACCTCAACTATACACTGATAATTAAGAAAACAATATGAAAGTTGTGTCCGCTCAACCATATTTTTTATGAAACAGTCACTGATTCTAACAAAACAGAAATTTGTAGTTATTGTACATAGTTTTTAAACAATGGGTACAATAGACAGTGCTAAAAAGTATAAATAATGGACAAAACTGCCTTCAAAATACGCATACCAGCTCTTGAGACAAAATACATTTTTAGTGGAGACAATAGAGAAAGGCCCATATAACTTCCATTTTTCTAATGCAAATTGTATGGATTTAATACAAGCATTGGAGATCAATTTCGATAGCTTATAATAATATATTTATATTATAGGTACATATTTGTACTTTTCGACTAGCTACATTAACAGAGAAAGTACACGGCAAACAATTTGAAAACTGTTTGATTATCAAGTGATGTACAGATTAGCTATTTACACGTTCATATACCTATTAAGAAAGCTTCCATTGTAATTTTCTCTACATATTGCCAGGAACCAGTACTTTGTCTAGTGAAGCACAGCGAGCCGTCACAGTAACTTCCAATAATATGCAATCCCTTTAGTACCTTATCACATTGACATTATTGGTAATTACATTATATTTACACATTGCCAAACAAATAATTTAATGTGACAAGGTACAAAGCAAGGTAATTTCCATGTTATTATAGGGGGATTCAACTGTGTATAGTATCGATCACGATTGTTAGTAGGGAAAGTAGCAGATGTGCCTGTGTGTGCGTGGAGACCACACCGTGTGTACGTATTATATTTATGTGTGTGCAATATCGCTACAGAGATAGGTCGAGGGATTTAAAAGATGGCAGTGTAACAAAAAATAACTCCTCCCACCTTTCTTGCGACTTAATATAATGTATCTCGTGTTATACATGTAATTAAGTGTCATATTTTAGTACAGAACGCTTTAAATATAATAAAAGTAATTACAAAAGATAGAACCCTAAATTATGAAATATCCATTTTATTAATATGTAATAGTATCCAGAAATATATATGTATTATCCAGAAATCTACTATTAGAAATTTTAGCATTGCTGAATAATAAATTGTACGTACAAAAATGATGCACTAAACTGTTGAATACTGTACTAATAAAATTATATGTATCTAATAAAACTTAAGGTAGTGGGTTAACCCTATCACCCGCTCTCTTCAAAACCCTACAAAGTAGTTGATCTACGAAATAAGATAATATAGATATTAATAAAGAATATATATAATTACCTTTCATATATAATAACAATTTCATAGTGTATGATAGGATCCATCGGACATTTTCAAATGGTTCAAATTCAAACGTTCGTACAATACAACAATAGTTTAATCATGATTTAGTTTAGTTTATTCACAAAATTATTTAAACGAGTGGTCGAAAGAAATTATGCATTAATTTAATAGTCTTGCATTCGAAAATACCACGATGATGAGACGAATATATGTAACTTCGTCATATATGGAGCAACAACTATTCCGACATTTGTGTCGAGAATGTGCAGCAGTGTTGTGCGATAAATGTCAGTGAACTGGCCAATGATCGTACGATAAGCGTAGTGTACTGGCCAATGTACAGCAAAAGTGACAATGTGCTGGTAAATGTACAGCAGTATAGTAGGACAAGTGTCATAAGTATCAGAGTGTGCTGGTAAATGTAGATTCTAGTCAGTATATAGCAGTGTCATGAGTGTACCAGTTTGCAGTGTCGTACGATAATAGTGCAGTGTATAATCTTATTATAACCAAATAGAGGAATTGCACCATAAACATCATATTGAAGCCAATAAATTTGAACATAAAACCTTTAGCGTTACCCTCCACCTCACTTACCGACACCACAAAGAGCAGCTGATAGAAAGAGACGCAAAGCAATAAAGAACTTACTCCAAGTACAAATTTATTACCCTCTCTAGTGTTCACGTTGCAATCTCAATTTGTTATTAAGCTGAATACACATGATTGTGTTGTGACATAAAGGTGTTCGTTCGTATTATACTCGTGTGAACATTCTAACATCGCGTTTCCAACAAATCTTCAAAACATGGTCTGTATTTATATGCAGACCATGTTTTGGTTTGTATACAAATTGACGTTGATATTTGAAATATGTTGTACCACCGAAGTATAGTGTAATTTTATCATGGTTATTTTTTGACGCAATAATATACAAGTTAAATACTTAAAACCATTTTCCTAACAAAACGCAAAAATCCATCAATAAACTTACCCTATTTTAGCATTGATCAATTGTGGCCCTTGTAATTTTAATTTGAAAGAGTGACTGTAATGATTGCAATAAATTTTGAAGCTTAGTTTTGTACTTAGTCAATTTTGTACCCTCGGATATACCTAATGTGTGTTTTCAGTAACAACGTAACTGTTATTGGAACGAGGTGTCATTATTTTATTTATCGAACACTCTTATGTCGTGCGTCGCGCGCGTGCGGTGTGCGTGTGGTGTGCGTGCGGTGTGCGTGTGGTGTGCGTGGTGTGTGCGTGTGGTGTGCGTGGCGTGGTACCGTACTGTACTGTACTGACCGTAGTCGCCGCGGGCCTGGGGCGGTCGCGGCGGCGGCTGCGGCGTGCGTCCGCGCAGGCCGCCGTGCACGGGCGAGCAGCTGCACCAATCAAATCTGACGGTTAATAGCCACCGTTAGCTGCGGGCCGCTGCGTGTGGACGCCGCTCTCTCTCACACTCTCACCCCCTCTTTCACACCCACAAATTCGCTCCGATAAACAAACGCGTGGATACGCCGTCTCGTTTTTTCACGGTTAGAAAAGCATATTTACGAGCAGCTGCACCGATCAAATCTGACAGTTAATGTGCCACCGTTAGCTGCAGGCCGCTCGCTCTCACCCTCTTGCACTCACTTTCTCTCTCACTCACACGTTCGCTCCGACAAACACACGCATGGATATGCCGTCTCGTTTTCTCACGCTTAAAAAAGCGTATAGTTATTTATTGAGAAGTCAACAGCATTATAAATCAATCATTGCAGATATAATGATTCTCGGATACAACATGCAGCTTGAAAGTATAAATTCAGCAGATGACTAGAAATGAATCGCGTACTAGCAAAAAGATACATGAACATTCATTCATACACTCCAAAATTTTGCTTTTTATTGTCCATGAGTTATATTTACCGTGAATCCTTAAAGAAACTTGCAATTTGAAAACAGGCATAATATAATAGGGGCATATATGTATACAACTATAAAATACATGTTTTAATAATACACACAACAGTATAATCTTACATAGCACATTACAATTACGTGTAATAATTTAGTTAGAGACATGTAATATAGTAGATCTCCTGTCTTTGAGGCTCTTTCAACTCTTTACTTTACTGTCTGAACAGTGAGAGGTCCAAATATCGCTACAGTGGTTCCCTTATTTGTAATAATAGCACTTGATGCAATACAATAACAATTTGAATTTGAAATTAAAACACTGCGTAGCGATATTTAAAGCTTATTAGAACTACTGTGACTATGATGGTAACTGGATTTCTGTCATCTCCTCCATTACACTCGTAAATGGATGCTACTTGTAGTAATAATAATAAAACTACTTTAAAAACAACTAAAATGTCTGTCATTTCGATATGCATAAAATCTATGATAATTGAATTAAAAAAAATTGTCCATAGCAACTTAATAATTGCAATTAGATTATTTTTTTTTACCTATGTACCTACTCCATAGCTCTTTGAATATTTTTTTTCAAAGAGCAGAGCAAAAAGGCTGAAGTTGGTCTTCAGCTGCTCCATAAGTCCCCCCGCGTGTAGAGTGCTATCTGCATTGATCCCCCTATCGTCCGGTGAAGCTGAAAGGCTCAATAATTAAATAGTGCAGGGAGCGTGTGCGTTACGTACCCGCCGCGAACGTGTAACGTCTGCATCATGCGTCGCTCGCGTGCGCGCAGTATTTCTTCTTTCTTCTTCTTGTCGGAGGGCGGTTTCGCCAGCGATACCTCCAGCCGCGCTCCGCCCAAATCCTTTCCATCTATCTCTTGCATAGCCTAGTAACAATTGGAATGTCAGTCACTGGTTCATATAACGTGTGCTTGTTACATTAAGATAAACGTAACAATACACCAAGTACTTCTATACCTGTCCTAAAAGACAAACCAAAGGAAAGGTTATGAACAAAATTTATAGATGGCTCGAGATCATCGATTTCAGTTACTGAGCAGTTTTTTTCACTTGTTTCGATAATAGCAACTAGGTAGCAGTAATAGCGAATATTTCCATCAGGTACCATGTCAGGGTCGACCTCACCCCGGAAACAGTCGTAGTTAATTTCAGCTGGTTTCACCAACCTGACCTTACGCTCATCGTCTTCTACTAATTTACACACTTTTGACGTCACAACGACCGTGGGGATGTACATGTTTATAGGGACGGTTACCTCTTACCATCATACAGGCCGTTATCTTGTTGGGCATTCCTATAACATAAAAAAAAATCCCAAAGGTATCAACCTATATGGCAAGTGTATTATTACCTTTACTGCACAGTCCCGATCGTCGAAGTGCACGAATGCGTAGTCCTTGATCTTCTTTACACGTTCCACGGTGCCGAAGTTTTCAAATTCTTCTTTCAGCGCTTCTTCTGTTATATCTTGCGTTAAATTCCTCACGTACAGTACCTTAACCTGGGATATAGGATGGAAACTATTGTTAGTAATTAGTTCGATTGCTAACAATGCACTCTCTCTATGGCGGTAGGCTCTCTCCCTGCTTTATTCTATCTAATTCGCATTCAGCAATAATAAAGTAATTCATATGACAATCTAAGAGAAACTACTGCGAGCATATAGTACCAGGCGAGAAACTTTGCCCGATTACTTTATGTAGGCGGTAGAAAAACTGCCGTTTATATAAATGCGAATAACGTGGACACTACTAAGAGCACTAATTAAATGCAATTTTCACATTTTTTACAAAATATTTGTTATTTACCTTTCACACTATAAGTTTTCAATTTTACAACAGATTATTTACAGTTCGACGCTATAAGATTTTAAGAAAAGTTCAATACGCTAAAACCTGTCCTGAATGACATCGCCTAAAGGGGTTCGAATCATCAGTTCAAGAGTCAATCAACTTATTTGCCATATTAGTTACCTACGTAGTACTTTGTATCTGTTATAGAGAGAGTGTTTGCACTTACCTTACTCATAGTTTGCTCGTCGGGCTCCTCTTGTGGATCGGCCCAATCCACTATAATATCACAGCCCCACACCTGCACACAACGGTATACCAACCATATTATAAAATAAAACATCAAAACGTCACATTCTATTATCACTTTCATTCAATTCATTCACACATCATCATATCACGAAAGATTCTAAGAAAACCTAGTTACAACCCGTACTAGACTATCCGTACATGTTCATCTAAAGGGGATGGGGGGACATTCCGGCTCATGTATTTAATAATAATCCTCAATAACTCACACAGAACCATCTAGTATCAAGTTAAGAGCTTGTGTTAGACAACTGATAGAAATATTTTACATTTTTTTTTGGCACATAACTAATTATTTTCATCACTACGATTGGTACCAAGTACCGTAGGAAACGATATTTCTTGTTATTTCTGTCAAGCAGCTATTCTCATACTATTTTACGGGTAATAGACATACTGGCTTGTGAAAATACAATGGTCCTAAGGTTTGGCAACGCATGTATAACATGTGCATTACAGAGTATTCTATAATCCCCTAGATGTAAACGGTCAGCTGGTTTCCATTCGGGAGGTCGTATAAATAATGCAGAATGCATGTAGTCCTATAAAAACATTGCACGTACCTTTATTCTACCTGTGCCCAATCTACGTTTAGCTAATGACGCCGCTTTGTGAGACTCGTATTCCAAAAAACAAAATCCTCTATTTTTCTTCTTGTCATCGGGCGAACTATATATTATAACTTCGATGAGTCCCGCTGCAATCATACAACGCGAATAGAATGCAAGAAGTACCACAAACGGTGCACTAACATTACACAAAGCTTCCCTCGACCCCGTCGCGCAATTCATTCCTTTATCGCTACAGAAATATGAAGCAAATCAAACGATATTTTCAGGAGAACATATAAAACATACGATACTGAAGAAGTCTAAGTCTAGAGAACGACAGCAAGATTCTCCAGTCATTACCGGTGAGCATTCTCGAGGCGGAGCCAATCGGAGGGAACAGTAAGTAGTGGCGGGCGGCGGGCGGCGCGCGCCGGCTGCTGCGGTTGACGCGCGGCCGACGTGCGGTCGACGCGCGGCCGACGTGCGACAGTCGCGCGGTCGACGAGCGACAGACGCGCGGCGCTCGGGCGGGCGGCCGACGCGCGCCGCCGCTACCGCCGAATAGCACTTATTATGAATTCGACAAGGACTTACGTGCGTGCCTAGTAAACTCCTCAAACAATTCGTCCCGATCTCGATTCTTAGGGATATTCCCCACGAATAACCGGTGATTGTTAAAGGAAACGGTAACGCCAATCTTTTTCCCCTTTCGAATTTCATAATCATTCAGCTGCAAGAATAATTCGAGGGAGAATAGCCAACGGCCGGGCCGGGTCGCGCAGTGGCGGCCGCGTCCGGGCCCAATGACTGGAGACGGCGGGACGGCGGGACGCGGGACGTAGGCGGCGCGGGGAGGCCGGGGAGGCCGGGACGGCGGGACGGCCGGGACGGCGGGGCGGCCGGGACGGGACGGACGGGAGCAAGCGGGATGCAAGCGGGGCACCCTCAGCGGTCCACACCAAGCCCCACGCACTCAACCCACCAACTCTATTAACTCCTTAATTCATTCGTGTGAAACTTTACCTGTTAATTTACCAAACTCTTCCAGTATCTCCTCTTTGCCTTTAGACTTGGGAATGTTGCCGACGAAAAGTCGAAGATTCGGTACGCTAATCTTAATTCTCAGAGTCTTCCCAGGTTTTATTTCGTGATTATCGAGCTGTGGGAAAAATAATAAGGGAAAAATTTTGAAAAGAACATCTCTCTCGTCCCGATTGTGGGGGAAAGTGGCGGCCGACGGGCGCGGTCCGTCGACGGGCCACGAATTTTGTCACGTCAATGAATTTGGAAGGTTACGATGAGGCAGAAAAGAGAACCGCGGCGTTGCAGCTCGATCGGAGTGAACGGTGATGACGGTTAGAGCCAATTGTGATGAGTTAACTGTACTTTTGATGATAAGCCAAAGTGTTGTACTGAGCAAAGAGGAGAGCCTGATATTAAGTTCTCCGCTGGAGAACGTTTCGAAGCCAATTCAAAGTTAACCCTGTAAGTGGACCGTTTGATGAAGTGAAAATAAAAAGAAGCAGTACAAGTGTGATGGTAACAAAAAATAAAAATTAATGCAACTTAAAATTGAACGAGGTGCAATAGTAAGAACGGGATCGCATCTCAGGATAAGCGGGGCCAGATCATTACAGGTGTTATATTTGCACATTTACACAAATTCAGTGATTACAATACAAAGACGGTTGTTTGCATACAACATATAGATAGATCATAAACATTCATTTCTGAACTCTAATGTCAATGCAACAAGGAATAAAATAAATTTTCAACTTTACTCATCATTGTACGCAATCAGTCGCCATCGAAGGGTATTAATAAAAATACATGCTGTTTAAATGATAGAAGAAGCTTAAATCTATTTATCCCAAGTGTAACTGTGAATATATTCGACAGGCAAATGATTGGGACTTGCAAAAATACTGGCGGATGATTACTAGCGAGTAATCTTGCAAGTGACTCTCTGGTTTGGCAACTTCCACTCAAGGAACATTGTTATTGATACAGGATTATATTACAAGGTGAAAGCAAAATAGGCTTTGTGTGCACAGTATGTAGGCACATTATCGTACGAGGGAAATCGCCAAACCATCGACAACTAAGTGCTGTGATTCTGTTATCTTTCAAGGGGATTATACTTAAACATTCGGCGAGTCACCTGGAAAGTAGATGTCAAATTAGAATAAATTTTGTTTCAAATTAATACACCAATTAAACATTCAAATTGCAACAGATATTGATGATGTAAAAAGCTTTAGAGTTTTGACACAATTTAGTGTTACCAATTAAACTATACTGATAAGGGGCGACTGCATACACAGTCCGGTGATAAGACAGTGTGCTCAATGTCGGCCGATACAGATGTGCTCGATAACATCCATGTGTTGGCAAAATTGGTGCCTGCCATTCGCCCGTTTTTGGGTCACGCATTTGCCAATCTCCAAGGTTGAAACCGCGGGGGCGACGACCTCCGGCACCAATTTTTGATCAAATGTTTGTTCAACAACTCTACTGCTTATCCACGGCCGTTGCTATGCTCCGAGGAGTGGTCGCTCGTTATTTATAAACGTAAAACAAATACGACAAATTCAGGTCTCGACGGAGGGTTTTAATGTTTAAATTAACTCTCAATTGTCTGGGCCGCTCTTTTCAATAGCTCAATTGAATCAAGACAAAACTGGACCAATCTAGGCATCTTAAAATGGATGTTAAGTACTCCTACCACTCCACTAAACATAACATAACCGTGTAGGTACAGTTTCCAGCGCCGCGAATTTCCAATTACATCGAGTGTACATAAAATAGTTATAGATAGAGATAGACGCCGCAAACTGATACTCGTGATATTATGTATAAGAAATTAAAACGTACTATATATTGATAATTTACTAATATTCCAATATCTATTAAAAGCAACCCCTTCAGAATAATTCGAAATATCAGCGATCGACGCTCACTAAGAAAATCCCAATGTGTATAAAATAATTTTATTGAAGCAAAATTTAATAACTCAAATAAATTTTGCATGATATCAGATTACTACCTATTATTTTTGTTAATGACCTTTAAATAACAAAGTTGCGTAATCAGTACTTTTCAATTACTTAATAACAAAACTGAACGCGAGTCAAGTGTAATTAACATTTAATTTACATAAAATTTTGTCTGAATCTTAGAAAATTATTATAAATAAATAGTCGATAGAATAACACGACATAAATGTGGAAACGATATAAATTACAATTCTGGGAATTACCTTAGTGGGCGACGCAATTTTTTTTCCCTGAAATTTGTAGAAAATCCTAGATCAAATTCCACCATAGCAAAATTTAACTAGAACTAGAAAAATGACGGCCGAGTAGATTTAGTTGCGGCATCTATTTAAATCCATGGAAGTGGTCTATAATATATATTTTTAATTTTCGAACGATTGCAAAAGATTAATAATCCTCTTCAAAAAAAATCATCAATAAATATAAAGACTTAAATTGACGGCACTAAGATTTATTTTGCAACAACTAGAATTACAAGATAACAACTTCCACAATCGTCCATTAGGCGTGCGTTGGAAACCAACATCGAAACAGGACAATTGGTATGAACCTCAACCGCACTCACCTCTTGAACGGCCCGCTGCGTCGAGTCCCTGGTGGTGAAGGTGACGAAGGCGTACCCGCGGTTGGTCCCCGTCATGGGGTCCATCATGAGCCGCAGGTCCCAGATGGGCCCGCAGCGCTCAAACAGCGGTATGAGCTCGTCCTCGTACATATCCTTGGGGATCTTGCCGCAGAACACCTCGCAGCCGGCGCCGGGTGTGCCGCCCTCCCAGCCCGGCGGCGGGCCCCCGTACTTGCGCTGCCCTGTAAGCATACACATACCCCAATTCTCTTTAATAAAAACCAATAAGTCTTTTATATTACTAACGCACCCACGCAAAATTGACTGTGTCACTATTCAAATAAAATTACAACTATAACAAATACTTGCCGGTATTATTAAATTAAGTATTATTATAATAATCTCGTATATGACAAAGTAGACTGTCACTAGAAATATGTCTTAATGAAATATGAATGTGCAAAGAAACGTTTATCAAAATCGAATATTTGACTAGTTGTGAACGTATTATTGGTAAAATAAAAATGTTAACAATGAAATAACAATGTTCTGAAAAAAAAACAGAAAAATCTTGTTATAGCCATAATTATATCCAAATAGATACAGCAGACAAATTTCATTAATATAGAGAATAAACTGTAAACGCTGTGGGAGCGAAAGAATGGTATGATAGAAGGATGAAGACTAAGTCAGCCCATGGCAAATGTAATAAAGGAAATGACGTCACAATTTACTAACCTGTAGTTACATCTAATGTATAGCCAGTTCTGGCCAGGATTTGTTTTATTTTCTCTTCATCTGGGCCTTTGACCTGGACAGCAGTGGACAGCGTGGGCGTGCCCTGCACGCCCGCTCTGCTTTTCTGTCTGGAAGACGAGAAAATCCTGATGAACATAATGATGTACTACATTTTAGAATAGGGTATATCAAATCCTAACCCAATGTTTGTAACTGTAAACTAGCAGTATTCTGCGGCGCAGCTCGCTTGAATTGAGATTAAAAGTAGTATATGACAAATTTGTAAAAATTTAAGGGGATAAAATAAAATAGGGGTTGAAAGTATATTAGAATTATTCTAGTTTTTCGATAAAAGAGTAACAAATATCCGAACATCATGTTCGTTCTTGCTAATCTCTGAAACGGCTGCATCGATTTTGACGGAACATTTAATTGCAGATAGCTAATGTATGAGGAGTGACTTAGGCTACTTTTATTTTAGAAATATTATTATTATTTATTTTAATTAAAAACTTAAATTCTACTCGTCACGCTAATAGAGTTAAGCTATAAAGCAGTCTGTCTGTCTCTACATGTTAACATGTTAATTATTGATAATACCAATCAGATTAAAAGATATTTATTTCATAGTCGATAGAATAGTTGTAAATTACTTATACCTACTATAATCACGATACAAGGACGAGGGAGCCGCGTAACAGGATATCAAATCAGCAGACATGCTAAATGCGATATTCAAATAACAGAATGAACGATCATTGTAATACGATGATAGTTTTAAATGAGAATGGGTTTTTAATTAGACTGCGTGAAACCGCGAGACACAGCTAGTTTATACTGTAGCCTTTTACGTCTTCACACAAGCATCATCGACAGGGTCATTGCTTCTATAATTCTCGAGTCGAGCCTGGGGGTAACGGCCAACGGTAATCTAATCTGGCGACACAAATGACACTTCATGCCATGCAGTTATGCAGTTAACAGTAATAATTTGGAATGTACCTCTATCGCTAATAGCAATACTTCTTTTAAAAAACGAGTTTTAATCGCTATAAAAAAAATATTTAGGGGTGGACAACCGTTGTCACTTAGGGGAATGAAAAATAGTAGCCGATTCTCAGTCCTACTATATATGCATATAAAATTATTGTTTCTTATCCAACATATTATTATTCTTATTTTCCAATAATTAAAAATAAAGTTCATCTGAAAAATCGTAAAATAAAAACAATATTATATGGGAATCCTTACCGCGGATAAATTTTAATATCAAGGCGGATTTATCTAAGTTTTCCTAAATCTTTATATTCAAGTTGTAGCTAATATTTAACAAATCCAATTGATCTGGAGTTGAAGGTTTATTGTAATTGATAAATTGCAAATAAAATGTATTAATACAACCAATGATTCCATCGGGATAATAAATATTTTAATAATACTACAAACTATATTTATGAAGACATACCGACCAGGTCCAAATAATAATCCTTACTAATGTTTTAAATATGAAAGTAACTCGTCTGTCTCGGAATCACGCCAGAACTACTAAAGCGATTTAAATAAATTTAGTGCACATAGCCTTTTTAATGCAAAATAGGGTTGTAGGGGGAGATATAGTTGTATGGAAGTATCAACATTAAAAGCTAGAAATTTAGAAACCTTATTTTTAGGCTGTTGATTAAATATAAATAAATATGACAAATAAATTTTGTAAATAAATGATCCTTAAGGGGATAAAATAAAATAGGGGATGAAAGTTTGTATGGAAATTCGTCATTTTTGAAGCTAGAACGGTGAAACTATTTTCTTTGGCTTTTTTGGGTTAGATCATTAAATTTTTTTTTGATTGATCAATGACACTACTCCACGCAAACGCAATCCGCGTCAATTTATCTATTAAATAATATTTTTTAATCAGGTTCACAGATAGCATTTTCGTAATATCAAATTTACAATTCACCGTCCAAGCAAAAAACGAAGAATGTACATGCAAATGCACAAATATGTAAATTTAATCGCTATGTTGTCTCAAGGCTTTTATAGTAACGGATTTATACTACACTAGCGACCCGTCCCGGCTTCGCACGGATTGCATACAAATCTTTGAATTTCTCTACTTGTTCTATGCTATAATATGCATGTATTATACATATAAACCTTTCCTCCATAATTTATTGAAAACTGCATTAAAATCGTTGGATAACTTAAAAGATATAAGCGAACAGACAACGACGGCAGCTCTGTTTTATACTATGTAAATATAAAGGTGGAAATATAACATATTTACCAAATTTTACCATTTTAGCAATTTACATATGTACGTATGTATAACATACTACTACTAATACTATATATATGTACGTATGTATAACAGTTTTCCAATTGAAATCCCGTTTTGAAAGGATCAGTTAGAGAATACTAAGGTTGCAATATATGTAGATATAAACCTTTAATATTTTAGAATAGTGTTATTGTAGTATATAAGCATTAATTATAGTAATAAACGAGCCAGTATACACTCAAATGTCGTACCTATCATTTGCTTAACAAGCACTGCCCTTATATTATAAGTCGTTTTATGCTTAATAGGAGGCTTCAGCAACTAGTTATAATTAAGTAAAAATTGTGTTAATTACATAAAGAATTGATATTTTTAATAAGAAATAATTTTATTTTAATCTACTTAGTTGCTGTTATAGCTGTTGCTTCTATTATAAAATATATAAATGGCAAGTATATATAATTATTTTTATGTAAACTCTGTAAATTATGAACGAATAAAAAAACATTCTAAGTAATAGTTACATGAGTAAGATGACGACGTCGGCGATCTAGCGGTTGGCACACCGCCTTACTTCCAATGATCACGGGTTCAATTCCTCGCACGGTACAAAGATTTACAAAGGAAATGTGATTGTAAAGATCTGGGTTATTTGTGTTTGGTTTAAATTTTCTATGTATATTATGTATTTATTTAGTGCCCATAACACAAGTTTTGTTTCAGCTTGGGACTAGATGGCGTTGTGTGAATTGTCCTGAGATATTATTCTAAGATATATCTAAATTCTATCGATAAACATAAGTTTATAGTATAAAATATCTATAAACTTGTGTTTATAGATATTTTATAATTATATTTTGCTTAAACTTGAACTTATTCAATTGCGCGACCGCGATGCCAAAAAAAAAACGAATATCGACTCGATTGCAAAGCGCAAAAATCGCACAATGGAAAGCTGTATTCAAATTATATTATTGTATCGTCTGAAAAATTCAAACAGACTATATACAAACAAAGCACGTCGAATCAATTTTCCAAATTGCGACCCAGATAAACGCGACTGCAGTGTGGCAATGCGCCAACTCCCACATTTCTTTTTAATGTACGATTATGGAATGGTGCACCTGCATTGCACGCTAACGGTATACGCTGGCGAAGCATTAGTAGAGTATAGCAGAATGAGAATCACGTCATGTAGTCAATAATCCACCAGCAGAGATTAGAGAAAATACCTACCCTGATTCAACATACTGTATTCTCAATCATAACTAGATTAATTTTCCAGATATTATAACCTACACATAACATTTTCCTTGCCGATCGTTGCAATAATACGTTTAATTACACTAAGAACTCATCTAGATCTAGAAAACAGGTTGACCTGATGGACTAGGTAGAGGATAGTAGAATGAGGACAACATGTCATCAATAATAAACCAGGATGAATTGGAGAGAATACCCTGAGTTGACATATTGTATTCTTAACCATAATAATTTTCCCAGATATTATAATCTAAAAATCACATTTTACTTGGCGATTGTTTTAACAATACCTTTACACACACTAAGAACTCATCTGGAGCTATAATACAGGTCGATCTGATAGACTAGGTACATGGGCATCAGTAGGGGATGACGTCATATCTGTTAGTCCTTCATCAATAATTCATCACATTGGTTACCAGGTGGGGAACTAAGGTTGATCTGATAGACACAGTTTCACTTACATCCGTACTAATAAAATACATCTTATCTAATTTTCAAATGAAAAAAAAAACTCACCTATAGGTCTTCATGACTCCACACAAATAAGCACTTTTATTTGATACATGCTCAAGATTTGAATCTAAAAACTGTCCAAGTACACTTAAAGCACCGTCGGATGGAAATTCTTTTAAGGCATCTAACGCACGCTCGTCCAATTCAGCGTGCGCTAGCTTTCCAGTCTTATAAATGTCGTCCAGCTTGGCTGCCACCTGGAAATCATGCAAAGGTCATGTTAACATATTAATAATAATAATAAACAGCCTTGGACACTTCATACAGCGTCATCTAGTTCCAACCTAAGCAGAGCTTGTTATGAACTACTGATATAAAACTTATGATACTTTTTTGTATATAAATACTTTTGTACATAATAAACAAACAATAATAATAATAAAGACATTTATTCAGCATTACAGTATTCTTAGATGCTATCTATCTTATATACTATACAACTTAAAAGCTAAAACGCATTTATACTGTAGTATACATATACCACAGCGCTGATTTTCAGTGGGGCCACCACACATGAGACAGCGTACGTAAAGATAACTAAAGAAAATAAAACGTTAAAATTAAGAGCATTTTATAAATAGGTATGAAAATGTATGTAAAGATAAATACACAACTGAAATACATATACAATTATATAAATTCAGACCTCAAACTGTATCATAGAATGGACAGAGATCTGCTTACTACTAAGATAAGAATAGGATGATGATAGACGTGATGCATTCCGATGATGAGGTGGAGGACGCTAAGGGTTATTGCTCGTTTTTGTTATTTATATGTACTCAACTGGCTTTAATATGAAGAATTTTATACCTCTCTATATTTCGACTAGAGAGTTACCCTTATTTACCATAAAATAATTCGCGTTAAAGCTCGTTTAATTATTTATATTTTTCTGTGTATATATTTAATGTAACTTTAATGAAAGTTGTATTACTAACAAAATTGGCAAAAATTAGCTTGAAATAAATATTAATGTCTTATCACGCCGAGTAAGTATGGGAGGAGCTTGGCTCCCTAGTACAGTACCTAGTCCCGGCTCTACACGCACACCGGCGTGTGTGGAAAAAGGTATCCGTTTTACATATTATGTCTACAGTATAATCACAGATAACATAATATATCAATAAAAACTTCAGTGTAATACAAGTAACACATTCAATTAGTTTTGCTTTTAATGTATTGGAAACGGGATTAAATAACTGGACTGATTTCGACGAGACTTTTTTCGGCAGGTAGCTGATGTAATAAGGAGTAATAAGTTACTCTACTACTTTTATTTTACTACTTACTTTTATTTTAGAAAAATAAAGTTATATTCCACGCAAACGAAGTCGTGGGAACAGCTAGTAAAGAATAAAATACTATAGAAGGCAATTACTACATAAGTACGGGATGGTACTTTACTTCATACGTATGCGAAACAATGTAAATGTGTATATGTATATATATTTTTATTTTATAGTAATATCTGCCGCTTCTTTTGTGGCAACATCCTTTTGGCCTATTTTTTTTTATCCTATAGATGTGTCACAATGTTTTTTTCCTTTTTTAATGTGTATATTTATTTAAATAGTTGTGTAAGATATAGGTGTTACTGTATTGTTGTCCTAATAAGAAAATATATAAAAATGGCTACCAAAAATGGTATGGTAATTGCTTTGTAAGCTATGTTTCGGCTGAAGGGGAAATATGGTAGTGAAATTACAGTGTACGGAAGGATGGTATGTTAGTACTGCGAAATGACAAAGCATAACGGGTACCACGGTGGTCAAATTGCAATGTGACATCTTATTGTTCATGAATATAGGCAACGGTGGCCACTTACCATCAGGTAAGCCGTCAAAAAGCTTGCTTTCCTTTACATAAATAATCTATCTACAATTCATTAAAATCCGTTCAGCCGTTTGTTTAGTCGTGACAACAGAATTAAACACAATAATGAATATACTTTTATATAAATTATTAATATTTTAAGAATACAAGTAAAAGGTTGTTCTAAAAATTATAAAATATTATAATAGTAGATAGTCTATCAGAGAAATAACCAAAGCCATAAACTTATTTTAAAAAAGCAGAAACATCAATCCCGGCAATGTGACCGCGCTATAATGAATACCTTTGTGGTATGAAAACTTTAAAGAGCTCAAGTTAAACAGGTCTCTCGTTGGAAATACCCAGTACGCCAATTGGTGGAACACGCACCAGGGTTGCCAACCTTAAATCATTTAACCTCGTATATAGATACAAAAAATCTAACAAAATCACTTATATCAGTTCAATTTGGCTCTATTAGCTCGTATATTATCGTATTTTGACGGATTTTCGTAGTTAAATCTCGTACAAGAATGAAAAATGTCCTTGTACCGAAAGCCAAACTATATTATAACGAGGGTCCTCGTAAAGTTGGCATCCCTGATACACGCGCTTTTCTAGCAAGCAGGCTAGCGTCGCCAATGTTATACAATTTTTCCGCCAGCGGGCGCTTGGCAACACGCCTAGGTCTATAAACATTTAATTAGCATACAGCTGTTTCCTGCGGCTATGCTTGCGGGTTATGAAATTCTATTCCCATCAGATTTTTATTGAATTTCATTTTTTAGTGATTATTCAGCAAAGAATACAAATAACTCTGTTTAAACCCAAATCTATTATACACCTAACCTTCCTCAGAAATAACGGTTGATGCACGAAAATCGTTCGATTAAATATGTTCAGTAATTTTTAAGACTATCGCCAACATACGGACAGACGCTGTGGGGGACTTTGTTTTATAATATGTATGTAGATTGTAATTAGTTTAACCAAATTTGTTTTCTTGCGATGATATGCAAGCCGAAACATGGTCAATTTGTGTTCTATTACTCATTATTGTTGTTGTTAGATCATCTCCACAAAAAATAATAATATAAGCTACAATTCTTAGAATCATATTAACAGTTCATGGTTATAAGTTAATTTAACAGTGCACAATGAAAATAAGAAATTTCAAAGGCGTATGTTTCAGGAACAATGGACCTTTGTGTGTTGATGTATTAAAATTTGTGATAAAGTTGGTATAATGGTGTCATAGCAACGCAGAACACCATCACAAAAATGGAGACAGTACAGACATCTGTCAGAACAGTTAGAAAGTATTTTAAAAATATTACTTTTAATGATAAAAATAATGAGCAAGAATTTATACTTTCATTTAAAGACAAGTAAATTGTTACACCTTTTTTATTTTAACATTTCAAATAAAGCTTCGTATTTTCATATATAGTGACTGATTTCGCGTGTTATTATTATTACGCATATTATGTATATTCTTATACACTTAATGTGATAAATAAACAATTAATTAGTTTTTTTCTAAAGAATAATTCTTAATACAAGTCAATTATAACAATTTTAAAAATATGTCTTTAAATATATTCAAATTTTGAGAGCCGTTGTTATTATTTTTTTACATATCAGTAATTATAAAGGGGATGCAAACCATATTTTCTTGTCTGGTCTATCTCTATATTTCTCTTGTCTAAACGGCTCCAATTCAGTGTACCTACACCTCATAAAATAAAACCCCAATCTGTGAAATTCAAATTCAAAAATCATTTATTCCGACTTTCCGATTTATTAGGACATTTTAGCCGCTTATGAACGTCATATTTTTTATATAATAAATTTTTCCCTCCCGTCAACATAACTAATATTTTTATTTCCTTCTTTGAAAATTCTAGTGTTTTATGGTTGATAATTTTACAAGTAATATTAAACTCTAGCTAAAGATTTGTCACTGACTACTAACAAAATATATTTATTTTTAAATGCACTCTACTAATTCATAACCAAATTTGTGTTGTAGTTTCCATCTAGTAATTTTAGTGATTCTAGTGTATACCTAGACATAATGACTAAAATTACTAGGTTTATTAGATGTACATATTTTGTCTCCAGTCCGTGCCTCTGATAGATGACACTGGCAATGGTTTAAAAATAACGACCGATATGCCACAGAATAAAGTATAAGAGTCAATATAATGCAATACGTGAAATCATAGCGAAAGTAAAATTCAGCCATGTTTGTGTGTATTTTAAACATTCCAAGCAACTTGTTTGTATAAGACTATAGATGAAAAAACTCATCAATATAATTCACACAGTTCAAGTGAAGCTAGGCAAGGTACCTACATAGTAACAATGGATATTTTCCACTTGCAAATATGTTCAGGTATCAACACAGATAATTAATGACAAAGGTCGCTGGATATCGGGTGAAAGTGACATAAACAAATGGGGCCATTACTGATTTATTAATTCTGGCATAGACAATGTTACCTAACAGACGCTCATACGAATACCTTCTTATTAACCACAGAGGGTTGTTATAATTTTGATGAGTGTGGCATTTTAACGGTTATGATGCAGATTTTTTTGTTTAAAAGTTGACACGATGGAGATGGTTCTTAGCTACATTTTATTAGTTTTTTTATTCAATATTACCTAATCAGCTTTACATAAATAAGTCTTTTTTCACGTAGGTATAATACAGACATGTCAGATAAGTCAAACAGAGAAAACTTTAGGTAAAAGTTCCCTTTCCAAGGGTTGTCACTCCCTTTATAATGTATATTGTTAAATGAATATTTTGAAAGAAAGGTTAAATATGTAAATAAATTTTCATGCTGTGACAAATTTGTTCTGGTTATTTATATTTTATTTTGTAAAATTATTCTAATATATTGGTATTTTATTGTATTATTCAGACGACATCATCAATCATCGACATGATGCTCAACCATCCGAAGTAATAAATTTTTACCTAATAATATACCTACGCTACGAATAGTCTTTTAAAGTAAAAAAAATATCGTCTATTCCGAAATTTATTTTATTTATTCTACTTTAGTAATCCAATTATTAGTTATTTTTAGTAAAATAAGTGGAATACAAGTTTTCAATTTATTCTAGACACATTTTTACTACCAACTTTTTGCTTATTTGTTTTTTGTATTCAGTCAATAAAAAGAATAATCAAAATCAGTTCAGTCTAAATGGTTATAATGACTTATCCCTGGTGATAGGCAGCGCCCACATTTTATACATATAGATAGTAGGAAAGTCTGTACAATAAACTGTTACAATCTTAGTATCTATCGTGTAGGTACTGTATGTCCCGATAAGAATTGCAATTCTAGACATCCTCTGGCCTTTTAAATCACTTCGCAATTACACAATGGCGAGTGTTAAAATTCTAAGTATTCGTTGTTTATTATCCTCCTACTTAACGTTATATAGGTACCTACTTACTTTCTCAATAGAGTAGAATATGTTTTGCATCAATTTTGGTTAGATTACAATAGCAAATTGTATTCGTGTGTATTCATCTAAAAATAATTTTAAAGTAATGTAAATAAGAATAAAAGGAGAAAATAATGTGATTATATTTATTCTTTCATATACTCCTATATATAAAAGTATCAACTCCGTTTTCTTATACGAAATATTTTGGTGGGGAGGGTTAAAAAAGATTCAAATAAGTTTTATACCCACTCTTAGCAGAATATTAATAATTTTTGAAGAGGTCACTTTAATACTATATTTTCTATAAAATTCGCCATCTGGCAGGCGAACTAAACATAATAGTTGTCATAATTGACAATAGATGGCGTACTAATAACAATTTAATTTTGTGGGGGACAATTATCTCTTTATACTTACATGGAAGAAATAACTAGTGGACTGTGGAGAACTGAATAAATTGATTTATTTATATGCTTAGCCGCGGTCACGGCTAATGCAACCTAGTTGAACGTCGAGAGGTAAATACCTATAATTACCATAAAATTTTCGTGTTAACAACATAAATAATATATTAAACACGAAAGTTTTAAAGTAATTATTTTTATTTACCCAACATTTTGTCTGTACTTTACAAAATATATTCTCTCATTGGTTACTCATAAATATTAACTTTAACTACTTAGGTAGGTACATAACTTTCCAATTACATAATAAAATAAACAAAATAAGTATGAGAGATTAAATTAAAGCTAGTTTACTTTGTAATGTATAGGAACTATGTTTGTATTTACCTACTATAATGTAGAGTATATACTCTTCATTATAGTAGGTAAAGTAGGTAAGTGTATATACACTAACATATATATGTGCTAACAGGTATATATACTAACTTCAAAATATACTTATAATTCACATAACTTCACAAATAAAGACAAATAAATTAAATACCTAACTATCTATTAATTTAAGAGTAGACATGTATGTATATGTACATGTATATATATATATATATATATGTATATGTAGTCCACAATTTCTATATTACATACTTTATTTGTTTAGGAGTATACTTACATTATACTTATTAATAGTGGGCATCATTATTGCATTTTAATGTTTATTAGCAACCTCACAAAATATTATTATAGAAGTATATATGGGATATGTAGTTAATTAAATTAACAAAACCTATAAAAATATTATAAATAATTATTATTGTTTTCTTACAAGAATCTTATAAGAATTTTGGATATTATAAAATATCACACCCACTATTTAAGAACTTTCCAATAAGATAATAATATAAATAGAAGTAATTGTTATGTAAATTAAATATTATTATTATTTTTCTTTTATTGCACTTAAAAATGTAAATTATTTGAATATATAATATTCAATTAAAATAGTATTTATCAAACAAATACTACATGGCATATACTTATATTTAAGCCACAGTTCACAGAACAAGTTCTTTATGTGTATTGTATTAAAAACATTTATATATAATAAATATAGTATTATCATTTATAAAATTATATTAGTATTAGAACATGATAGAACTGTTATATTTGTGTTAAAAATAAAATTTAACCCGTACTAAAGAAAATTAAGTTTACAACTTTGAGCAGTCCGTAGTACCTCAAACTAATAATGTTTAACATATTTCTACATTACAAATATGCTTTGATTATTGTGTTTAATATATATAAGCAATTGATATGAACAATATTCACTTGCAACACTCACCTTAGGATCCAAGCCATAGTCGATGAGTTTGCGGTAATCTGGTGTTCGGCCAATATCGGAGTCCTTCCCAGCTACCTCTTCAATGGATATTTCTCCATTGCCCTCCGCCATTCTGCACAAATTTTTTTATATGTTTACACACACCCCACTGTCCTATTTTAGTTCATATAACACAATATAAGTTGAAAACTTTATTTGCCAGTTGAAGCACAAATGTTTGGAGGACTTGAGCATACTTATGGATGATGTCATCAGATTTCAAGAAAGCCACGCGTATGAGTAATAACTTTTATGAGTAGGTAGGGACATTATTAATAAAATAACAATACTATATGAACAAAGAAACTACATAAATAATCATATTTACCTTTAATTTGCAATTTTTGTAATTTTGGAAGAAAATGATAACTCTCTAATCGTCCGAAAAACAAAAAAACAAATGAAGATCAAACATATGAAACTGTGAAACAATGGGATTGTGCACTCCTCATTCCATTCGGGTGAAGGTAAATTTCAAAAAGCGAATATGCCGGGTCATTGCATTCTTCTAGTGAGGTGACATAAAAATTTGTTTCTATCCTAAAAACGAAAATCGAAATTATTTAAAAAAAAATACGACACTAACTTATAGGAGATGTGAAATCCGGCGGTCAATGACCGAAATAACACAGCAAAGTTAAATTATGACAGCTCCCCTATAAACTATAACACATAACACTTTTAATAAATAATCACATTAAAACACTATAACAATCCTTTTATAACAAAATACAAAACACTAGAAACTTTCCGCGCATGAAACTTTTGTGAATGCAAAACTGCAATAAGTTGAGAGTGCAACTGCATTGCACTCGATAAGAACCGGCCGGCGCGAGTCACAATTTCCAACGAGAATCCAATTAGAATAAACGCAGAGATTAATTTAAGATATAAAACACTATAATGCACAAACACTGTTCAAAAATAATAACCAGAAACACTGTACACTAAAATAATTACCTATTAATTTTGCTAGTTGGTGGCCGAGACAGATATGGCGGCACCGCGCGACGTCAACGTGACCGCCAGTACGGGGTTCTCATAACGACGCGCGCGGGACATGCAACGAGGAGTGCATTCAAAGTTTTAAAAGGCACTTAATTTGTTTGGAAAGTTTTAATAATCTCTCTGTTTCAACTATTAATTGAGACCGCATCGAAAAATAAAATAATATTTTTATTGCACAGAGAGTTTTTGCAATGGTTGCGAATAATTTTGAATGAGAAAGAGCGCGGCGCGTCGCGCAAGGCTGCCGGCCGCGAGGTGAGACAGGCTAGCGGCAAGACGGCGGCGAGTGAGAAGCCAAGAGCGAAGGGGGGAGGGTGTTGCAACTGGCGGTGCAGGCGTGCAGCAGCGACGACGCCGCACCGAGCTCGCTGCATACTTGCATGTACACGCACACTTGCAAACCTTTTGACCTTCGGCAAATCGATTCACTGCCAGTTTCGTCTTTGTTGTTACAATTACTTTACCTTACAAACTACCCTTTAAATAGGTATACCTATCTGACCCTTTAAGTTAATATGCTATCAAAATGTCACCAAATAGATTAATATCTAGTTAGAATATTTTTAAATCTAATTGAAGTAGTTTCTAACAAAGAAAAAAGTTAAGGTAATGCGAACTTGTTCACTATAAATAACTATGTAATATTGTATAATATATATTGAATACTCAACACTACATTAAATAATATAAATTAAATATACAAGTAACTACTCAAATCCAAACAAAATACTTATTCAAAATAAAAAAAAATCTAAGACGCACAGATACAGATTTATTCACTGTAAAGATCACACGGTTACTAATCGACATCGTCCAATAGTAGAACAAGGTTCATTACTCTTTGATATGGAAACGAAGGGATAAAAGTCTTAATCGCAGTAACCCCTTGCTTTGGTTCGCTTACACCTGCTGATGATCGAAGCCGTATGTATTCGCGACACACAAATACCATTTTAAAAACTGGCCTTCTCACTTGCATGTGTATGTGTTAAACTTGGATCTGTATCCGCCGCTTTATGTGGGTAGGTAGGGCGGCTACTGCGAATGGTTTGCTTTATGTTGACATGGTTCCAACTTGGTCCTTTCACTTACTAATATGAATCTTACACGACAACACTGTCAAGTCGTAATTTGAATAACATACCTAACCATTGAATCTTCTTTTCTTTCAAACAACTTATGTAGTGTTAATAGAGACACGACAAATGCACTTCCTTTCTCACATTTCGTTTTAAGCAGCTATAAGAATTAAACCTATTTAAATTAATAATATAATTAAACTAAAAAAGTCAAAAAACGGAAATTAATTAGCACAACACTATTTACCCATCGGTCACTCAACTCACTCTCATTCAATTAATATCAAAGTAAAAAATAGAAGTATCGTGCTATCTCTATTTAATTATCTATTGTCACTTTTCTTTATAATACGTCAACATATTCTATCCAGACTTTTTTTTATAATAAATACATTGAAACTACTTTCACTATTATTTTTAGTGTTGTATACTGAAAAATATATAGTAAATTAACTTATTGTACTTGCTTAGTTTATCAAACATTCAAAACAATACTTGTACGACCTCTTTATTTAAAAAAAATGAAAATCCCTAATATCATAGTAAGAAGTTGATTGGTTTTGAACTAGCGTTACCGATTCATCAGTCCATGTGTACCAAATGAACTAACCTCCAATTATGAACGTACTATAGGTACAAAAAGCCATCACTTACCATTCATATTGTGAGACATGAGACCTTAGGAAATGGCACGAATGATCCGTCACGGACACTCACGTCTATAAATAACCATTTTGCAAACATAGCAAGCGAGCCGCTCCGATCGCCGTAGCGCGCACTATATTCACGATATTGTACTTTGTAAGTATTTTAGACACGTCAACAGTGCGTTGACCCGCGCCGTTTCGCATCGTACACCGTACGTTGCTGAATTTATTGTGTCTGTAGATTTGTGGGTCACCGACTCACCGTACTAGGTGACGTCAAATTGGGGTCCCGGAGTGGTGACGTCACCTTATCAAATCAAACTAGTCTGTCATTCTAGTTCTAGTACATTATCATATTCACAAAACGTGTACTATCCTATACAATACTCGCCCTAAACTGACCTGTTCGCAACCGAGTAAAGGTCATAGCTCACTAAACCATACCAAATTGCCTTAGTAACAACACATCTCAAATGTAGGAGGTACATTTAAAAATGAACCTTATTCTTTATTCTATCTGAATGGTGTATTCCTCAATATACTTCTTTTTATAATAGTTTTTATAAACAATGAGTGTAACTGTTAAGCATACGGTCAGCCTGATGTTACAGTATCTAACTATAGGTCTTTATTTTTTGTCTTTTGACGTTCGAACGTTATGTAAACAATTTACAAAAAGGTAAATTAGAAGGTAGTAGGTACCTAGTTAATTCAGGACGTTTATGCTAAAATATGAACTCAATTACACTAAACTCGACTAAAAAAACACAAAAAGGTTCAAAAATTAGAGAAAGGACAGAAAGCAGTAATAGTCGAATATAAAACATTTTGTTTTTAAAAAGATTAAAAATTTCAGAATGTTAACATCCAATTGTAGCCTCAACCCATTTTGTTTAATACTAATAAATAGGTCAGCTAAAGTTAGAAAGCCAAAATTTAGAAAAAACCTAGGTTAAATTACACAATGGTATTATAATATACTAAGCAGTTTGTTATTAAAACTTAATACGCTGAATAAATTTATTAGTACGTAATTATTATTTTTGCAAACAAAATCTCAATAATTTGGAAAACACACAGACCAATATAAACAGTCGTACTCATTAATACAAATAAAATATTTGTACTGTACGAGGAATGAACCCACGACCATCGGAAGGTGAAACAGTATGTTGAACAGCTACAACACCAAGGTCGTCAATCTTTTTGAATTTCGAATTCCTTATAATACTATGTAATATTATATTATCTGTGATTATACTGAAAGTCAACATAGACGGATCACCTAGAATGTCAATAGTTTTAAATTTCGGATTCCTCATAATTATACTATGTAATCTATATTATCTGTGATTATATTAAAAATCAACATAGACAGATCACAAAGGTTGTCAATAATTTTGAATTTCGAATTCCTTATATTTATTCTATGTAATATTATATTATCTGTGATCATAATGTAATTATACTAAAAGTCAACTAGACGGATCACCAAGGCGGTTTATAATTTTAAATTTTGAATTCCTTATAATTTTAGTGAACATAGACAATTTCGTCATATTTCGCCATCAGCAATATGTAAATAATGTCAATACGGTCGGTGGTCTAGTGACAGCGACGTCGTCTAGTGCAGGTGCGACGTCAGGGAAGTGTGCGAAGTGAGTGCTGACCTTAACACCCATCTGTGCCGAGGTCATTACTATTTGTGTTTCTTTTTTGTCAATTCAAGGACATTGAAAATAGTGCGTATCTTGCACTGCACCTACTATAAAAATAAGTAAGAAAAATAAATGTATGACTTAGTAACTTTTTGTTTAATCAATCTTTAAACTTTTTTAATTGAAAAGTGTTGATAAAAATTGCCTGCGCTAACGGTTTACGCTGGCGGAGCACCAGTGGAGGATGATAAGATGAGCATGAAGTGAGATCCATTAGCCAATCTTGGCAAATGGCAATTTACAACGATGATTTCCAGTGAGAACCATATGGAGGTCAATCTGGCATAATATATTTCTAGCTCTAGGGTCTAAGATTTATTAATTTACTTTATTTATTTAACAGTTCAATATTCAGTTCAGTATTCAAATTCATATTTGAATTCGAATTCTTGTCTTTACATTGATGCCAAGAGTGAAATCATGAGTATTTTCAAAATTAACGTAATGTACATTTTCTAGTTTTGTATCAAATGTAAACGGTAAGTTTTATAGGTCTTGTTTACTTTTTTTTAAATAAATATGCTGAGCGTCATTGCCGTGGTTTACTACCCGACTTCAAACTTCTAGGTCCTGAGTTAAAATCTGACCAAGACCAAAAAAACATTGTGAATTTATATTTCTGACTGCCCGGTAATGAAAACACCGATAACAAAAAAGTACCCGGGTGACTGTGGGAGGCTCGCCCACTACCTCTGCATTAAAATAAATCCAGCAAAATGTTAAATCAACTATTGGTGATGCCTCTAACTACCCTAAAATTGGTGCAACCGTCGTGAAGATATTAAACTGAACAACCGTTGGTAAGACTGCTAATTATCTGGAAAGTGTTCATGTGACAAAATTAGAACCGGTAACTAATGAGAGATGAGCTACTGGAGATCATGCACAGGGAAGTAGAAGATAGTTGTTCCAGCGTTCTCGCCCGTTAAGAGCTGAGAGGTATACCATCAGGTGTTTAGCCTATAGGAGTCCGGTAATACCCTCCATATGAGGTTTCCATAATGGATTTTCCTGATGCAGATATAGGTATTGGAATTGTTTGCTTTTAATAATTCTCGTACTTCATTTTCTAAGTTTCACGGCATCCGCTTAAAATGCAGAAATGTGTATTTTAGAAAAGGACATGAAAAAGGTGCCGGATATTTTTAAACCCCGACGCAAGAAAGGGATGTTATAAATTGACGTGTCTGTATATATGTGGGATCGTAGCTTCTAAACGAATGGGCCGATTTTATGAGTTTTTTTTTTATTAAAAGCTGACGTGAACATGATGGTATTTAGCACCAATTTATTACAGTTTTTTTTTATTCGGGGTTATTTAAAAGGTATAACATTACTAATTACGCGCTTCGGCTTCGCACGGATGTACATAAATTATATTTACCTATAAACCTTCAAATTCAAATTATCTTTATTCATGTAGGTCTATTACAGACTCTTATGTCAAACAAACTGTTATGTCTAATGTCAAAATTTTCTCTTGAATTACTCTATGTACTGCTAAAATGTGTATACGTTGCGTAGTTTAAAAGACCTAAACGAACATACAGCGGAAGTGACTTTATTTTAAACTATTTAAAGATAATTATTTTGAATAGTTATGTACCAGTAAGTTTCTTTTGGTTTCACTTTAGTCATACATCGTCTCGTATTTTACACTATAAAACTAATAGAACTTACAGAATTTTGTTGGTAACTTGGATAGTAAACTAATTAGTACTATAATATTAACCTAGGACAATTCACACATCGCCATCTAGTCCTAATCTAAGCAGAGCTTGTGTTACTCATAACACAAGCTCATTAGGCAACTGATATAAATACAAAGATATATAATTTTTGGAATAACATAAATAATGTACTTAGAAAACACCCAGATCGATA